TTAGAATCTGTCTTATGGGATTAAAAGAATAATGAACACATCGGTGTATAGACACACAGTTAAGTAACATAATTAAAAAATAATATTTCTTGACCGATTTTTGCCACGGCGGCCAATCTTACTGAGAATGAGACTAGCCATCTGCGTAGCATGCTGCGGCAGTGGGAAGACAATTTGATACGACCGATGAGCGATTTAGAGCACCGGACCAATGGCTTTACGTGCACTTTACAAGCACGGAAGTATGACACCGCTAAATTCCAAACTTCGAACTGCTACTGTTAATTTATTAACAGAAAACCCTTAATTAAGTTCATGTGGGTGCAAACTTGGACTCGAACCCAGGATGGGCGAAAATTAGTAAGGACTACTACGATGAATAAATATAAAATGTTATGTGGAAAAAGTACGTAGGTATATTATGGGTAAAATAATAAGAAGTTATGAATTAACATTATTTACTGGGTGCCTACTAACGATTTAAGGATTGAATATTGTAAATAAATTAAATCCAGCACAGCCAAAGTTAATTTGTACTAATTCCTTTTCTAAAATAAATGTAGCCTAAGTTACTCCTTATAAGATCAGTTATTTGCCAGTGAAAGTCCTGTCAAAATTAGTCCAGCCGTTTCAGAAATTAGTCGGAACAAACAGACTGACAAAAATTAAAAAATTGAGTTTTTCTTATAAGTATGTACCTACAGTATATAATTTCATATGCATTTAGTAAAAAGGTTTTATTTCGACATTACAAACAGACACTTCAAGTTTATTTACCTGTATCGATAGGGAAGAAGGTACCTTAAGTACCTACAATGACTTGTAGGTATACTACACATCGTATCTTCTATACATATAATAAAAGTAGCATTGCCCGCGACTCCGCCCGCGTGCAGATGACCAAAAACCAAATTCTTAGGTTTTACATAAATTAGTATACTCTTACATTGCAGTTTTTGAATTTTTTCTCAGAAATGAGACATTTTCCCGCGGTAAAAAGTATCCGTCTGTCTAAGTGTAATGTCGAACGAACGATAAGTGTCTGTCTGTCTATTACCGCATCACGGAAAAACTACTGGAATGATTTTGATGAAATTTGGTATGATGATAGCTGGTTATCCGGGTCAACATATAGGATACTTTTATTTGTGGGAAAATATATCATTTCTGAGAAATCTATACTAAACGTTAAAACGTAAGTAGGGCCGAACCCGAGCGGAGCGAAGGTGAGTCGCTAGACTCTAATAATAATTGTCTGATTTGGGTGACGAAAATACATTATCCATCTTTATGAACATGTTGGTATGTATTAGGTAATAGGTAGGTACTATTTTAATAAATGACCACTCTATAAAAAGATAAAACAAGAAAAAAATTGTGATATGCATTATTTACACGGCAATGTTAAGCAGCTGGAGATCACCATCGCTCGCGTCTCCATATTCTAGTGTTGTATAATGGTTTTTCATTGAAACATATGCGGGAGAAGTCATGGTACTATTCGTAATATTCGCAAGTATCATACTTAATTATTATAAATTCTTGCACTAAATAAATTAAAAATAAAGAAAAGGAAGCTTAGTCGAAATGCTATAAGTAAAAACATCCTTTGAATTATAAACAAGTTTTATACATTCTTGTTTGACAAGCTAGCTATAGCACTCATCATGTAATCACAATAATAAAAACCGCTATATAAATTCTTTCCCTTTTATAAACCTACTAGCGGACCCGACAGACGTTGTCCTGTCTACACGTCTTTAATTTGAAAATTTCAAACTTTTTTTAATATTTTTTTTGATGAAAATTATTATTCAAATTGTGAATCTAAACCATTCCCAGATCCCCTTGAACACACACAAAAAATTTCATCAAAATCGGTCCAGTCCTTTGAGAGAAGTTCAGTGACATACACACTCACAGAAGAATTATATATATAAAGATACATTGCGTACACGCTCATAAAATGCAATAGTATTAAAGAAATAATATTATATCACTGCGGTGTCTTAGGTTGCGTAGTACTTACCTATTAACAAGATCAATTTAAGATTATACTTAATCAAATTTTATTTTAATCGAATTGTTTTAAAAATATATACCTAAGTATTACATACGTTACAATTATATTTAAATGTTACGTACCTAATCATAATTATGAATTTTGAATACCCTACCTTTACTGGTAAATGGTAATATTTTTTACTACTACCCGGTTTTTTAAAACGCGTTTTTACTAATATAGTTTCACTATACACATGTTATGTAAATTAAATCATTATACCCCTACTGAGTTCTAAAGTCAAGTGATTAAAAATACGATAATTCTAATTTCTAACTGTATTTATAAAAAGTCAGTATATGTACCTCACTTATTAATTAGTAATAACAACAAATGGATGAAGTTCAAAGATATAAATCTTGTGTAGAAATTAAATATCGTAGATGGCATTGCTCAGTTTGTGATATATTCACAAATTCTTACGTTCAGCTTGATCAACACCTTGAGGGAATTGGACACCGGCACAAAATAATGACAAGAAACAATAACAAAAACAATAACGTGCACGACGAGCAGGAAACTAACTTTCTATTTTATATGATTGCTTTCATTCAAGTTGTTATAACCTCTTTCATAGTATTTTATATTGTCATTAAGTTTTGTAATTAGTCATTAATCATTAAAAATTATCAAAAGTAATGGTTATTATCGATGCCTTAAATTTCGCGCCACAATTTTAATTGGCGGAGAAGTCGTCCCCAAGCGTTCACGGCTTCTATGCGCACGAACGAACGCGCAGAACAATGAGGTAGCAGCCATTTTATGTCGGTGCCTAAGAAAAACATAATTCGAATGGCCAATCTTAACGAAATTGTGTAATTAGTGCTCTAATTTATGTGTTTCTGCACACGCCACTATTATTAGGTGTTTCTTTGCTTATGTGAGTAGAAACAAAGTTTTGCTATATATAACGATAGACAATAAGCGTAATGAAACTTATCATTTTGCATTTATATGAAATAATGATTATTGTAAAATTATTACATGGTTCCCTCCATAAAGTACGAAATACAAGTGTTTGATTAGAGTGCAAGTATTTATTTGCGAGCATTGTTTGTGTTTACAAGTCTTAAGTAGGCGATTGATGGTATCGCAAAAATGCATTCTGCATATTTAGGCATGAGATATGACATAACTTTCCTTACTAATAGCAATTTACAGCTTTGTAGACTAGTTTTTGTTTACATTACAATTGTAGTGGTCATTAATTACGCTTCTCATAACAACCGGCGTCGCGCAGCCTCGGCTTAAAGTTGGGGACAAAATTCAATAACGAATTGGCCATTTTATTGATGGCAGGGGGGGAAGCTGGGTGGAGACGGTCGGTAAGCTACGGCCATTTAATTTTAAAGCATTTAATTCTTTTCTTATGTTTTGTTTACATTCTGCGTTCAAATAACTAACTTTGCACATATAAACAAAAGTCGAATATATTATAATGCATACTTTTATTCGGCGTAAAGATAAGCACGCATATCTGAACTTATAAGGAATATAAACAATTCGCAATATTCCTTTATAATCTAGTGTTCAGTCAATGCCCTATGTGTACTATTCAATTCTATTAAAGTTCTATAATGATTAAGAATGCAAATCTTGTTGGATTAATTAATAGAAATAATAACCTCATAAAATTTTATTGCTATACTTTTTGTCAATGTACTTAAAGAAAAGTGTAAGTAAATAATTTTTGATAATTAATGATAATTTGAATTCATTCTAATAAGAAAGCTTAAGTTGAATATTTTATTTTCTATTAATTATAATTTGTAAAGTAAATTGGCAGTATTATGTGTTTAAGATAATTACCTATTTTGTTTATGTTTTGTTGATTGTTTATTTTTTTAATTTCTATAATAAAAACTATGATTTAAATAAATGTTGGTACTTTTTTTTTGCATTCACAACCATTGTTCAATATATTATTATAATAATGCTAAGTCTCAATGAAAAGCTGTACATTACATTGATTTTTAATATTTACTGCAGTTATCATTGATAAACCACAACATAAAATGAGAGTAAAAAATATTAATGAATTAATTTTCATATTAATGCTTGTGCCTTTTAGTTAAAAAAGTAGAGATCAATTAATGATGGAATTATGATAAAAAATGTAAGCATTATGGTGTCATGATTGCAATTATTAATTACCATATCTTATGTAAATAACAGTAAAAATTGTCAATTTAATTTTGTAATGGTCATTTCCTATCTAGGCATCATGGCCTATTTAGTTTGTCTCAAAATACATGGTTCGCTTACCATATATAATTCATATAAGTCGGTTGACTAATTAATTTAATTGTAATGTCTTATAAGATGTTACTTTAAAATACATGCATGTAGCTTAACTGCTGATATACTACCTTGAAACATATATTTTAAATAATATTTAATCCAGTTAAGTAGTTTTATAGTTTTCTCGATAAACAAATATGGCTTTACAATTAGTATTACTAATCAGAACAACCAAGCTATGAGTGCTCATTATCCATAGTAAATTAGTATTAATTTGTAATAATTAAGAATTTTGTCTCTCAAGCAACTCATTTTAGTAAACATGTTTTGCAGTTTTTATTTTAATTTCTATCCATTTGAAAAAAAAAAATTTTATAGTATCATTTTTATTTTTCATTATATTCTTACATATGGATGATAGAATTTAAGTATATCTAATGAGACATTATTGAAGTAATTTTTTGATCACAGTCTTAGTAGGTATATGATATCAATTTTTCGAAATAATAAACAATAAACTTTTTCAGTAGTTGGCAGTTGATGATGGGGGTGCAAGAAGCAGTTCACCATTAGTTTCCCGGCACATTGGGGCGTGGGCGTCGGGGGTGTGGCACGGGGCGTGGGGGTCCCCGTGCCGCCTCCCGGCGACCTACTCGCCACGATATCTATGTTTGAACAACAAATCAAGGCAGAGCCCATGAGGTAAGAATCAGCAAAGGTCTAACTGGCATAATTGAAGAAGAGAAAAATTTTAAAACTTTAATTCTGATGTACTTTCAGTTTTTACCCACATCCACATGTGAACACTGGTCCCCCAACAATAATCCGTTCAGATTCAAACCATGGTATTATTAATATGAACCAACACCATCCACAAGAAGATTCAAAGGATAGCCTCATAGTACAACACCAAGTACAACACCAACAGGAGCTGCTGGATCAGCACCAACAACATGAAGAATTACATGAAGATGAGGTTGATAATGTTAGTTACTGACAGAGATGATACTTATGATGAAATATTTTTAATGTTTACTTAATAAAAGACAATTTAATATCAATATTTTAAAATAAGTTATGTTTATTTGAATTTCAGTTAAGTTTTAAAGGTATGGAAGATGAAGGAGTTGAAATGGATATGGATGGCAGACAATGTTCTCAGGTTAGCTAAAACTTAATAAGAGTAAGTAGAACGAATTCTTATTTAATACTCAAGTCACATTAAAACTAATCATAATATTTATTTGCCAGGGTATGGGAGTTGATATGGGTTCAGTTCAAACTAAAATGGAAGTGTCAAATGGTGGTCAAGTACCAAGGTCAAAACCTCAGGCCTGTAAGGTATGATATTCGTAAACATATCTAGTGAAATAACAATATGTGTACCAAAATCTTATAAAAATATTGATTTTAAGTTATTATTAAACATTGTATATTTTTGTACATTCTAAAAAATATGCTGTTTATAGGTCTGTGGAAAGGTCCTTTCATCTGCTTCATCATATTATGTGCATATGAAGTTACACTCAGGAAACAAACCCTTTCAATGCACGGTTAGTAAAAATTTTTGGAACAGATTTAAAATTGTGTCTGTAAATACATTTATGTGTATGAAAGTACTATATTTTATCAATTTAATATGATTCACCATAACTTTTTCATTTCAGTCTATGCTGTTTAACAAATTAATATTAATATTCTATATAAAATAGTAAATAAAAGGTTGCACATATTAGAGTACAAAAAATACTTCTATTAGGAAAATATTTTTTTATGCTGAAAAAAAAGGAGTAATAATTTTCTTAAATGACACATATTTTACTTTTTTTTTCTAGATAAAAATGTTCGTTATATTTTCTAATCTAAATAATCTAAGCCATACATGATGTAGTCATTCACCCAGTCTTTACATTGGCACAGGTTTGCGACGCAGCGTTCTGTCGCAAGCCGTACCTAGAAGTGCACATGCGCACGCACACCGGCGAGCGCCCCTTCCAATGCGACCTCTGCCTCAAACGTTTCACGCAAAAGTCCAGTCTCAACACGCACAAACGCGTCCACACTGGTAAGTGTGCTTTGTTATATCTTTACAATATCTGTATGTATGTTCATGTCATATGACATTGCTGGTCAAAATCTTAATTTTGTTTCAATTTTCTAATTGTGATCATTTTTATTAAAACTACATGAAATTTGTTGTGTGATATATATTTTATTATAAATATGTGCGTTTCGACCTTGCATTTGACCTTCAGTAATAGTAAAGTTGTTAAATGAAGTTTTTAGGGTTTTAGTTTTCTACATATAAAATAGATATATGGAAAAGTTAAATGGTTATAAAGCATCCTCAAACTTATTGTCCCAGTCCCATACATTCCATATCATTTATTTTGTCATAACCTCAAATATGTTATTTTAGAGTATTGATTTTAAAAGCTATAATTAATATTTAGACTTAGATAATGACCAGCAATGTCTTGTGAATAACTTATTCTTGGGGCAGATTTTATAAAAAAAAAAGATTAACCACAATGAGTCATAGCAAATTACTGCATAATAAATGTTTTTTTTGTTAAAATTGGAACCATCGCCCCTTATAATAAGGTTGATTTTAGCCAGTGAAGTAACTAGATTAGCACATAAGATCAATATGCCTTCTACAGTTGTTAACCTGTCAGATTTACTTAAAGATGAAATTTTCCTGATACTTTGATCTTATGTAGCTATTAATGTAATTTCCATAGGTTTATTCAAATCAGTTTTCTATTTTAATACTTATCTTGCTTTAGTGTTATCTTAATTTCATAAATCAATTTTAATTAATGCAACAGTCGGGAACTAATATCTCAGTTCATAATGAGTTATATTTATAGGAAGGAGGTTTTATGGAAGTTACATTGTATGTCGTACACCAAAATGAATATTATAGTAAAACCGACGCTCCCATGTAATAATACCATGAGGGGATTATTTTTATGAATATAATTAATTAAACTTTTATATTTTCGAACAAGTCAACCTCCTCCTGTTTCCGCGGTACCGATATATTTCACATTACATTTTTTTTGTTTTTTTTTTCCTTTTCCTTTTTTATTTTAAAATCCGTTTCGCCGCCCTGATATATAATTTTTGTACTTAGTTTTTTTATATATATTGGATGTTATTTATTTAAGCTGTCTAAAATATTCATATTTAAACTTTTCATAATGTAGAATACGCTTAAACGCATCGTATATACATAAATTATAAACCTAGAAAAATATTATAAGATTATTTTATTTATTTGTTTAAGTTACATCTTTTACATAGGAAATAAAATTAATATTTTACGTACAGTAATATACAAGTAGAGATAATATTATTAAAGTATTACAAAGCACATGGCCTCTGGACAATACCTATTAAATCTATAAATTATATACACTAGTCTTTATTATTTGTTACGCATTATGTATTAAATTATACAAATGATCATAATGAAGTTACGACACTGGTGCGAGTCACAATTCGCTCACGGCAAAACTGACAACACATATGCTTAACATAAAGATGTGAATAGTTTTTGAGTTGTGTCACGTTAAAAATTATATGAAATAAAATCAGGGCGTGAGGATGATGTCGATGAGAGGTAAACAGGGGGAGGTACGGAATTCACTCTGGGCTTTGAAAGCTTTTCATAATAGGAGTCCATTGTGGATTCCTAGTAGTGTTGCCAGGTTCGGTAGATATTAGGATGAGAAAATAAAGTTGGCCCAAAAATTAGTATTTGGTAATAATTGGTAATAATTTCGATTAAATGATAAAATGTTGAGGTTTAACCCTACAAAACGAACCAATTATACAAAATTATTTATCAAAATTTTTAGAATTTGCATAGACACGATTTGTACTTAAGTCACCTGGCAACACTAGTTTTAAGGTGGCTTGAATAGTGTCTTGGATTATGGCCTCACTTTTAGATGAGCACATGCGGGCTCTGATGGTGAAGGAGCGCCCCTACAAGTGTGAGCTCTGTCAGATGCGCTTCACGCAGAGCTCCAGCCTCAACAGACACAAGAAAATACATACGGGTGGGTCCCAGTCACTCCGCCCTAATATACTGTTTCAAATCTCATTAAAAACGGCCCTTTAATATATCCGTCACTTCTATAACAATTTAGATTTTATTTAAAATTAGGAAGTTCTCCCACGTTTCTTATCAAACTATTTGAAGATTTCGATTTAAAAGTATATCATACCACGTATAATTTGGGTTCGGATCAGAGTTTCTGTCATATTAGTAAGTAACTTTCGAAGTTGAACGGCACGAGCGAGCTCTATTAAGCCGACCTCCCCCTGGATGTATGTATGAGTGTATAGATAGACCCCTTAATAAGATTAAAAAACATGTTTGAGAGAGTGCAGTGATGCTATATCGAAAATCGTATAACTTATAGAGGAGCACAGACGAGCCCTGTTAGAGAAAGTGCGGCCGTACCAGTGCCACATCTGTTTTATGCGCTTCACTCAGAAGTCCAGCCTGGGCCGACATGGAAAGATACACACCGGTAGGCATTTTGCCCTAAACTCCTTAAGTAGTCAATGAATTATATAATTAGAGCTCACGTACATTAGGCACTGTCACCGCCGTGTGCGCCGAGAACCGTTTTGTAGCTGAATTTTGTTAATATTTCTAGAGGAGCACATCCAATCGCTGATCAACAAAGTGCGCCCCTATCAATGCGACATCTGTGACAAGCGGTTCACGCAGAAGTCCAGCCTTGGCACTCATAAACGTATACACACCGGTGGGTCCCTTGATATCTCTCTTTTATGTTCATACGGTTTCCGAGTCACAATAAATGTCCAATTTCTATTTTGTATTATTATCTCTGTTGTGGCTTTGACACCCTCTTTGTGAATAGTTTAAGGGCTCCCGTATACAATCTTTTAATTAGCAGCGATTTGGAAGTGTCTTTAGTGGTTTTTTTGTATATATATTTCTAATTTTTGATTTAGTATAATTCCGTAACGGATCTTTACAATAGGTTGAACGCGCTCAAAAACTATTCACAAACACGTAACAGTAAAGCATGTGTACGTTGTGACGATTTTAAGTTATAGTAGGCGTGAGAATGTCTGATGGACAAATAAGTTCGCAATCCCCTCATGGTAGGGGCGGTTAGAGTCGGTGTAGTGAGATAGCTAGAGAATTATTTGTCCATCGTGGTTTTGTTTTGTTTTCTGTCCCCTGTGGCGGCGCAGGCGAGCGGCCCTTCCAGTGCACCGTCTGCCTCAAGTCCTTCACGCAGAAGTGCGCGCTCAATTTACACGAAAAGATACATACGGGTTAGTAGCCCACATTACACTTTAGCCAAATGCGATCAGTACGATAAGCGACTTACGACTCGTCACGCACTCATGTACCATCTCATTTAGCGTCATGCTTCTTTCCCGTTTTTTCCGTTGCCTAACCCGTTGTTTTTAGCCCCGAAAGCTTCCATCTCGTTGCTTCCGACTAACATCTCGATTTCTTTTAACTTTTGCGCGCTTTTACGTACTTCTGCACTCGGATTTACCTTTCTGTTAGAGCAACCGGACGTTTCACCCCTCGCATACTAGCCATCTCAGATTAGATATACCATTAATTTTATCATAACTTCATGATTATTAATTCTTTCACAAAAGCGGTAATGCAATCGCCGCAAAGACGCAATATGGCGCTTATGCGTATAATAACACCGTGTATCAAAATTATGGGTATCGATGCCGCCGGGCTCGGGGAGGTCGGGGTGGGATTGGCTGCGGGCGGGTGTTGTGGCGTCGGCGACGTGCGTTACTCGCTTTTGTGTGTGCACTGGGCGCAGTGCAAGGGCGACCTTACACGTGCGGGCGATGCCCCGCGGCGTCGCCCGCCGCCCTGCCCGGACACTCACGTGCGCACGCATACAGGCGAGCGGCCCTATCAGTGCGACGCGTGTCTCAAACGCTTCACGCAGAAGTCCAGCCTGAATATACATAAACGGACGCACACAGGTGGGTGACACGACGGGCCGGACTGGCCCCCCGCCCGCCCCTCCCCCTCTCCACCCTCATCTCTCCAAATCTCGGTCGGTCGCTCGTATTCAGCTTCCGCGACCCTGTTCTTGCGACATCTCTAAATAACAAAGATTGGGAGCGGAGTTAGCGGCGAGCGGCGACCAGTCCGCGCCGCGATCTCCGTAGTGCGAGGGCGAATAGCGTCCTTGCGAGCTCGCCGCCGCTATAATGTATGTGTTGGGCACCAGTCCAGGGCAGACCGTTCCAGTGCCTGTCCTGTCCCGCCGCCTTCACCTGCAAGCAATACCTGGAGATACACACGCGCACGCACACCGGCGAGCGCCCCTATCAGTGCGACATCTGCCTCAAGCGCTTCACGCAGAAGTCCAGTCTCAACATCCACAAGCGGACGCACTCGGGTACGTGAGGGGCTCGCGGGGACGGGGCTCGGGCGAGGGCCCGCGACGATTCACTCGTGTGTTTACAGTGCAGGGCCGCCCGTTCCAGTGCCTGCAGTGCCCGGCCGCCTTCACCTGCAAGCAGTACCTCGAGATACACAACCGCACGCACACCGGCGAGCGCCCCTACCAGTGCGACGTCTGCCTCAAGAGATTCGCGCAAAAGTCCACACTCAACATACACAAACGAACGCACACAGGTACGACGCCGTGCGCCATCGCGCGACGCGCCACATCGCTTTCTTTTCTTTCCTTTAATCATGATTATTATTTACACATTTTGTAACATTAATGTTGTCGGTGCCACATGTTGGAATATCCGTCTAGAGTGGTGGGTGTGCTGAAGTGGTTTTTAGATCAGTAACTAATGTGTGTGATGGTTAGTGCAAGGGCGGCCGTATCAGTGTATGGAGTGTCCGGCGGCGTTCACTTGCAAGCCGTACCTGGAGATACACATGCGCACGCACACCGGCGAGCGCCCCTTCGAGTGCGATGTGTGTTACAAACGCTTCACGCAGAAATCTACACTCAACATTCACAAGCGCATCCACACCGGTATGAAGTCTCGTGGCGACGCGCGACGGGGGCCTTAATTTGTATTAATGCCTTCTGTGACGTCATTTTATTAGCTTAAACGAGATTGGGATGATTCGCATTCTATAGAATAAAAGTACTATAGAATAAAGTTGAAAGGAAAACATGTAAATATTTGTATAGAAAATTTCACAGAAATATTTATATGATAATGATAACTAATTAGACTTTGTTTGTAAATGTTTTGGCGTGTAACTTTGTTCTAGGTACGAAGTTTTTTCATTCAGATATTTTATGAACACAAATGGTTGTTTTCACTCAATAATAACACTTGTAAATGTGAATCATCCAAATACTTTGAATCAAGATTGGCAATTCACACAAGATAACTTGTCTTTTTTTTTGTTTGTGTGAATGTATCCACTGCGATTGGAAGAAATACAATAGAAGACGGCAAATTGCGATAACAGGTACATTTTATTCCTGATCCAATGATGTGGCACCGACAACCATTTTTATTATATTTCATTTTATCATTCGCTACATCATCAATTAATTTTCGGTATATATTATCATTTATTATGATTTCTTAGCTTCAATTCATTGATTTCAGACTTCATCCTACTGTCTAATTGCATCTTGCCGTCTTTTTAACACTTTATCTCTGCTTTTTTTTAAATTTCATTTATTTAGATTATTGCTACTCCGTTCAGTTAGTTTTAGTCGCTTTATAGTTGTAATGAAATCTGTGGCCTAAATTTATTATAAAAACCGCTTTAATCCTGTTTCAGGGGAACGTCCATACGCATGTGATATTTGCCAAAAACGGTTCGCGGTGAAAAGTTACGTTACAGCGCACAGGTTAGTATTATAAACTTTCACTTGAAAAAATATATTGTTCTCATTAATATAAAAAAAATCAATAAACAAGGTAAGGTAATCAATTACCATGATTGATCTCTAAGTTGTACCAAAAATGCATTTGGGAATATAAATGTCTTATAATAAATTTTTGTTAAATGCCTGGTATTTAGTAATCTAAATTGAGAAAAAAATTTGAACAGTATCAGGAGATTCAGAGATTTCTTCCTACATACAAACTAACAAACTATACCTCTATAATATTAGTATAGTGATGTATACTAATATTACAAAGAGGTATATAGATATAGATAGAGGTGTATAGACGTTAATACATAAGTGTACTCCGCAGATGGTCGCACGTGGCGGACAAGCCGCTGAACTGCGAGCGGTGCTCGATGACGTTCACGTCCAAGTCGCAGTTCGCGCTGCACATCCGCACGCACTCCAGCGGGCCCTGCTACGAGTGCAGCGTCTGCGGACGCACCTTCGTGCGCGACAGCTACCTCATCAGGTCTGTACCCAGGGCTGCCAGATAACTTATCCCGCTGGCTCCAAACATGAGCAAAATACTCCAAAATAGTTTTTTTTGAAGTGAAACTTCTTTAGAATCGTTGTGATTTGAAACTCGATGCAACGGAAATGCGACAGTAAAAAGAGACAAACATATAAATATATAGGATTAAGCCGGCGATAGAATGAGATAGAATACATTGCGATGATGCCATGGTAACCGTTGTCATGGTAACCGTTGTTATTTGATAGAATACATTACAAAGGAAGTGAAAAATAATAAAATTCATTACTGATTATTATGTAATGTTTATATTTATGTCAAATAAAATGTAAAATAACTTTTAAACTTGGTAAAAATAATATAAAAAAATCCTTATGATTATCCTACTCCTGATACTCTATATTCATATCATTTTCTGAAGTTTCACTTCTACGATGTGTGAATTGCACATTTTTTTTTTTAAGTAATTTATTCATGTTTTATATAGAATGAAAGAAAGTACTAATGATAGAAAAATAAGTCATTGTAATCAGTTCTCAATTAAACAGCTTTAAATTATTATATCAAATATAAAAAAAAACTTAAAATATCAAATTAATCAGCTAAACTAACATACCTGTTTTCTACTAAAATACCCGCCATCAAAAATCGCCTAAAATTACCCACTTTTCGGGTAATTTACCCGCCAATTGGCAGCGCTGTCTGTACATGCAAATAAATTATGGAGAGTGCTCTCCGGTAAGGAGAACTCTTATATGGAAAACAAGTTAAAAAAGTGTCCACCTGTAAGCGGTAAAAAACAGTACAAGAACCCACCAGAATGCGCTAGCGTAGCAAGAGGGTGAATGATATGAATTTAGCAGTTGTAAATAGAGTGAAGTGTGCTGAGTTGAAAACTTTAATATTTTGGGTGACCTGAGTAGTTATTTAAACTATTTTCATAGTCCAAAATAATTTTGTAAATACATATATATATATATATATATATATATATATATATATATATATATATAAGATAGGTTAAATTACAAAAATGGTGATAAAAAGGTAGAGTGATTTATTTTTTGTGAATGTTTAATAATACTTTTGGCGCTTTCTTTAAAATGTACCTACTTATGAAATTTACAATTGAAATATTACTCATTATTTCAAATACATATTACGATTGTTTTCCTCTTATTATTAAACTGGATTTAATATATTTTATTTATTTGGAAATTACTTAATAAATACATGTTTTTTTGAATATAAATAAAACGCAGACATCACAACCGCGTGCACCGCGAGAACCACAGCAACGTGTCGGCCAACAGCATCGGCACCATCAACAGCGTGGCCGCCAGCGCCAACAACGGCGGCTTCGACTCGCCCGGCGTCTGCGACCTCAGGTAACAAACACTACGCTTTAGTAATATTCCACACATTTCAGAGACCCAGAGACCTACGTCATTTTAGAAAATCTAAAATTTTGTTCATGGGCTCATACAATAGATTTTACAGTTTATCAACAGCGTCTTTTTTTAACCATAAAACCAATTATTACTCCAGTATATAAAGTATATAATAATTTGACGCCACGTTTGGCTCAGTTTGTAGAGACCCTACTTACTTCAGTGCTTCAGTGCCAGCGGTCACGGGTTCGAATCCCGCTGGGGACATTCATTTGTGTGCTGAGCACAAATGTTTTTACTCCGTTCATGGGTATGTTTATAATATGTATGTATTTAAAGTTATATATCATGTGTAGTGTATCAACTATCTGGTTTCCATAACACAAGCCTCGTAGCTTACCATGGAAATAGTGCTGTGCCTTAATGTCCCAAAATATTTATTTATTTATCTTTGAAAATTTGTGCATTGCAAAAACTCAGTGAGATATTTTACTAGTATTGAATAATTGTGATTTTACATTTAATACTTAACATCATCTATCAAAAAAGTAGAAACACAATCGGCGGCAAAAAAAGGTCTTCACCGTATGAGCGATTATTTGAACATTTGAGCGCGCTTTTAAGTTTTTTTTTTTGAAAACAACTTTAAGCATTACATTTAAGGTTAAATTTACAATGTTGTATATTTATTTCAAGTAGAATAATTACCTAAATACAATTGGCTACAGTTTTAAGAGAACTTTTGCATGGGATCGATGCCTAATATTTAGAAAACTCCACAGTTTCGTGCCAATGGTGAACCGCTACATGACGTCGCAGGGCACGCAGGTGTCGATGCAGGACTCGCAGAGCAAGATGTCCGCCATGTCGCCGCAGTCCATCGCTTCCATTTGTGAGTTTCCGTCCAATTCTAGCTCTTGTATTTGTTTTGTCTTTATTGTAATACCCATGCTTAAGAATATAGTTATTTTATTAAATAAAAAAAATTATGTAAACAGATCTTAATATGAATAAAAATAATCTTAATTTTATCAATTTATTTGTTTTTGAAGTTTATACTTTTGGTTGTTAGGTTTATACATGATGATCATAGAAAAAGGTACAAATACAACAAGGTAAACACTAAAAAGTGAAGACAGCTCCAAAATCAGTTTAAATATTATCATTCATTGCGCTTACAGTAGTAGATATTTTTTTGAAATTTATTTGATTCCTTTTATTTGTTCATAAAAAATGAATAATCAAAATCGGTTCTCTATTGGCGAAAATATCGCGTAATATACATATACAAAACATACGATCGAATACGTAAAAAACTTCCTTCTTCTTTGAAGTAGGTCTAAAATAGTGCAAGTAATAAGATCGATGGAGATATATGTATGTAATATTCATTGGTAGGCTGTGGTAGCCCAATGGTAACGCGCTCGCTTGGGAAACCGAGTGATGCGGGTTCAAATCCCGGGTCTCGCATCTCTGATATTTTCATGTGCGAATCATTTCCAACATGATTACCACTTGTCTTACGGTGAAGCAAAACATCGTGAGGAAACCTGCATGTCTGAGAAGGCGTACAAATTTTCGGAAGACATGTGAAGTCCGCCAATCCGGACTTGGCCAGCGTGGTGGACTGTGGAGGTCCGTGCCCAGCCGTGGGACGCACAAGAGGGCTAAAATACAATATAGCATTCGTGTTGCAGCGTCCCCGCCGCCGCCGCACACGCCCACGCCGCAGCCGCAGATGTCGATGCGTCTCGCCGATTGATCCGAACTGGGTATGTCCTTGAGTTACCTTTTTTATCTCTTTCACTACTCTATTTACTACCTTTTCTATCTCTTACTCTAAACTACACTAATATTATAAAGAGGAAAGATTTGTTTGTTTGTTTGTACCGAATAGGCACCAAAACTACTGAACCGATTTAGAACATAGGGTAGATTTTATCCCGGAAACCATCTCTTTAAGTGGGTGAAAATGGGGATGAAAGTTTACGGGGAAGTAACCCATAACGCTATTCCTGTTAATACTTTTTATCTTACTGTACTTTACTAAATTTAACATTTATCATATCGGATTATATTATAATTGTGGGATTTAAATTTGTGTATATTTTTTACTTTTATTACACAAATAGAGCTCTCATATCAATTTATAAGTACGAAAAAGGACCAAATATTTACAATTGTTTCAGATATTTTAATAGCTCTCGAATAATCAATCGAGCGAGCAGTCCGAGTGCAATATTAAAGCAGCATTAGGCAGCCATCGGAAGCAGCTAGGAGCGAGAGCGCTACAACAACTACAGAAGAGTTATTTTATATTATTATTTATTTACCCGTTTGTTTGGTCGGCCGCGGCGCAGAGCAGCAGTCAGTCAGTCAGTCAGTAGACGTAGCGGTACCGCCTATCGTATGCATTGTGATTAACCCACAGCTGTGATTTATCTGACCATCACACGGTGTATAGATGTGGTGGCGTACATAAATCGATACTTAAACTCTCATCGTAGATCGTAGGCCTAAATTTTTGATCTCATATACTTATTTGCTTAGTGATAACTTTCGGAATCGTTAGCGGTCGCGACTCGAAATTCTAAATTTTTTAACTCTCACTCGCTATCGTCCCCGTGTTTCGATCATTAGTTGTAGTGGAATGTAACGATATCTTATTGCGATGCTTTAACTTAGATGTCGGTGTAAATGGAGTTCGATAATTTTATAGAACTGTTTCCGATACGTGAAGCGTTTAGATCGCCGAATGGAGCGACTCAATGACCTCCGGGAGGTCCCCCCACGTCTGCGTCATGGTGGACGAGTACAAAATCGCAGAGTCCTCGGAGGCAATAAATAAAGCTTCACAGAATAAATTTAATATGATGTTTATTGGAGAAATCCAGAGAAGTGCCTGTTGCAACATAAAATTGGCAATATTTTTTAATCGTATTTCGTTCATAATAAAAAATATGTTCGGTGTTCAAAATGTGATCGCCACGAGTCGACCGGTGGCATATTATGGCAATAAGTGAACCGGAGGCGGCGGGTCGTTCAAGCTTCTTACTAAAACTTTGTGTGCCTTCTAGCGGGTAGCAAGCATTAGGCGATAAACAACAAACAAACAAACACCATCGATGACGCTTCATTTTGTTCACTCGTCGATACTTTATTCGCGACTTATTATTCATTTCACATCATTCATTGCGGTATCGTTTCCATTTAGGATATGTTATGCGTGTGCGAGTGTGCGAGTGCGGGCGACGCGGGAGTGTCGGGTACGACAATGTACCACAATATATCGATTACGATTATCGTCGCAATTGTTACTAAACGCTAACGTCTTACATTCCAAGTGCCCTTTATATTGTCATGGCTGAACGTTGGATTTAAGAGAGCGCAATTAGTAACCAGTCATCAAAACGAACTATATTTAGTTTTAGATAATCGATTCTATTGTATTTTAAAGTAAATCGATTTTGAATTAGTTCGTAATCGCACACCTGCACAACGACTTAGTGGCAGATGTCATTATTTCTATCGCTTGTATTCGAATAATAGTGATAACGTATAGTATAGCGCAGTAGTCTTCCAAATCTTGAGAGTCAGAGGCGAGCAGAGTGTCCGCTGCGGGGTTCCTTATGGTTTGCCATTATTGATATCAAAGATAGATTGGTGCCATTTCTATGTAAATGATGCGGTAGAGTAAGTTTAGTTAAGTTTGCAGGTCAGGGTAGATTGGAAATAAAATATTGTACAACGCTCTTGTCGTAGTGTTACGCGCCCACTTGTTTTTATTACTTATTACTCTTATTGTATGTATGTTTCGTTTTCTGTTCGTATTGTTTTTATATACACTATTTTATTTCCACGGCGTGGTGAGTCCATGAGCTGAGGGTCGAAATTGTAAATATTGGTAGGATTTATTTATTCGAACGATATGGAGTAATACGATTCAAAATTAAGGTAAGAATGTATGATTTGTAGAATCTTTTTTCTTCTACAATCATAGAGTATATCGAACTGATGGAAAAAAAAATGGAATTAATCATAGAATATTTAGCGCAGAAGTATACTTTTGGGTAAAGAAATCAAAATTTCCTCGTAGATATAAATAATAATATATACATATGGATGTTGTTTGATAGTCCTCGATATTTTTTTATATTTTGATAGTTCTGTATTTGAGACATGAAAAAATAGGCCAATATCTCATTTATCATTTACATATAATATAAACATGTATGTACACGATAATATAAGATGGTGTGACAAGACGGATGCATTTAGTTTCCCAGATGAAGAAAGTATAAAATTTAATAAGACAACAAAATATTTTCCGTGTATAATGAGAACCTTTCTTTGTTAAGTTTCTTACCAAGCCATTGAGAACAGTATTATTTAGAGAAACTAGAACTTTGGTTTAACGCGTAGTATAAATCTTCAATTACCAGATATAAATCGCCATTGAGAAAAAGTTATTTACCAATAGTCAGTAGCGACGCGGCGAACGGGAATAGAGACACCAACATAGCGAACTAGGTACATATAAAGTATATAAATGTATATCGCGGCTCGGCTCGGCGGGGGCGACTCTACGAGCAATATTTTTATAGGATTAGCTATGTACTTCCGTTGTTATCAGTTCCGTGTCTAGGATGGTTCGTTCGCCCTCGGCGGGCCGAGTCGAGCCGAGACGGGCCGAGTCGCGCCGAGCCGAGCCGAGCCGGGCCGAGCGGCCCCGAGCGCGCCCTCCTCTTATACAACGGCGCGGCGCGGCGCTCGGCTCGGCGCGCGGCTGGGCGCAATGGCTGCCTTTATACGGCCCTTGCGACCCTACGCCGCAACTATTTTACATACCGACGTTAGTTACTATGTATACTTACTTAGAGAGTAATATTGAACTATGTATGTATTCGATTACGTAATAGTGAGTGTTATGAGTTGTACTTCCCTTTCTCTACTTATTTTTTGAACCGTAGAAAAGACTGATAGCCGAATGATCCACAACTTTGGAAAATGAATACTCACAAGATTTTCTTTTGGCAAAATTAAATTAATATTTTATTTTTGAGACATCGGAGCGGTTGTGGTTCGGACCAACCAGTTCGAGTAGAGTCAAGTATTCGGTTAGAGAACTCGTACATATCCTTGTCCCGAGCAGGTCGGGGCAGGTCGTAGCGCGTATAGCTACATAACATTTAGTTGTATGGTATGGTTAGATTTACGCGTACTTCTGCTTTGCCGACTTATTGCGTTGCTTACGTCATAATCTTACGAGAGTACAGCCTAAGGATTTTAACTTTTTTTTATATACTGAGAGCTATTTCTAAGTCACTGGTCTTTTACACTTCGTAGTTTTTAAAGAAATATGGCTCTAAGCCAACTTGACGTTTTGGAGTATTTTACATACTTTTAATTCCGATTTTATTGAAAGTCGACGAGCAAAAATCATGGCATGATTTTTTTACCAACGGTCATTTAGTCATAGCTCTACAGAGTTTTATTGACCAATATTTTTAACTACATCTGTTTTTCTTTTATTGTTAAAATTTTTAGGCTAGTTTATATTTTATTAAAAATAAGTTAGATTTGTTAACTGTGGTGTATTACATTGCACGTGAATATGATATCACCTTTACAGCCTCTTACGCGACGCGTCGTTTCTTTAGTCTGAATGTATTGTGATAAATTTATTATTATTATTATTAGTTTAATGTTAAGCGGCTGATAACACTTAAACACCGACTAGTGATAAACACTAAGCGATTATCCTATCGGACAACTGATACGTTGGTACTTTCTATATTTTATATTGTTATTTTTCCTATTGATGTATACGTTTTAGGCGATTATAAATTTTATTATACGTGGATCTCTCAAGACTGACTCGACGCCACTCTATTACTGTAGTTGCTTTAGGTGTTATCATCACCTTAAATATGATTCTTATTATTATATTTATATTTTATTCTTAATATTGTTTATCGTTAATTCTTTGAGAGTATACAACTTATTCAACTGGGTGAAGAGGCTGTAAGGGCATTATGTAGTCAGCATTATGTATATGCTTTAATGTGATTTTTTAAATGTACTCTTTATTATAATAGTATCATCAATCGATATAATTAGCGAACTAACAAAGCGATTTTTAATTTTTTTTAAGTTCATAGTGATTTATATTGAGATCAAAATAAATACAGAGTTTATTTAATTTTATGGAAAATATACATTGTAAAATTATTAGTACTCTTTTTGAAGAGATCTATTAAAAAGAAAACTATATGAATGCAAAATAACAAGTCACGATTCTTTTAGAGGTCGCCATGTAGTCGAGAAAAATAAACGTGCCATGATATTTGTGGCTATACATCTTGTTTAATTTTTACATCCCCTCCTTAGATTAAGTTGTTTCTAATCTAAAAATTTTAGCACAATTTTGAGCAAAAATTTATATTTACAAACTGTCACGAAATACAGGAATTAAATTAAAAAAAAAAAAATTTCTTAATTGGACGTTGTTATGCAAGATGGATCTAGCCCACGAAAATCAGTTTTTGAGTTGGTGTCATAAACGGCACCTATATCAACTTGCATACAGAAAGTAAATAAAATACCCAATATTTAAGAGGAATTTAATGAAAAAAACTACAGTCACAGTTATTTTGATATATCGATTTTACAAAAACTGCTAAGTTCTCAAAAGTAAGTATTTTGTGGTTGGATCTATTTTGCATAACTACGTCCAATTCATACTACCGTGGGTTCTCATCACAAACAAAGAAAAATTTGTTCAAATAAATTTCAATAAATGACGTTACATGTATCGATTTGTTATTGTGTTAAATTAACAAAAGATAAAAATAGATCGTATAAACGTGTAATAATGTTTTAAAAAATATACCAAGTGGAGGGAAAAGAAATAATGCGCCTGTAAATCAAATTTGAGTTTATTATTTACTTGAATATCAGCAATCAGACGATCGGTTAGTAGTGTATATTCACAGATGGCGCTTTTACTTTTGATGAATCACGGCTTAAAACTCTTAAAATCACCAAAAAAAATTTATTCGAATGCAGAATAAAATTCACAATATTGACCAATTGTTAGTTTGCACATATTTATAAAATAAAATAGTTAAGATTTGCAAATCAACGACATCTATTATCTAATCAAACAAAAATAGCCCGAATTAGCGCTGCCCAATTTTTTGTATGGGATGAGGCATTTGTATAGTATTATGTAATCTGTGATATTACTAAAGTATGGATTTTTATTGTCAGCAGTCGACCACAATTTCTTCTTTGACGACATTAGCGTCGCCGGCCGGAGCCATCGTGTTGTCTATGATCGGCGCAGGACTTTTGTAATACTTGTTACTGGCGTGATGTTCTTTTAAATATTCTCCACCCATTTCGTAGTATTCTTCCTTTGAAATACACCACTTTTCAAAATCGTTGCTACCAGCGAAGTCTCTAGCTCCGTACCACGCGTCTAGAGATGGGTTTTTCGCCATAACTACCTTATGAGTCGATTGGAATGGACGCATTTCTAATAATTCCCTTTCTAATCTTTCTTTTAAACCTGAAATATTATAAACACATTTTCTGAACAAGCTGTTTTGTTATTTTATTTAAATGTACTAGGGATAAGTACATTTATACATATAATAAAATAACTAAGCCGAATCTGTACATTAGATATTTTTTGGAAATCTTATTGTAATAAACATTATTATCGATACAGAGGCCAAATCTATAGTTTTTAGAATTTTTGTCTGTCTGTTACCGCGTCATAAAAAAACCACTGGAGCGTTTTTGGTGAAAATTGGTATGGTGATAGCTGGTTATCCGGGTCAACATATAGGATACTTTTTACCGCGGAAAAATATCTCATTTCTGAGAAAAAATTTTGTTTTTGGTCACCTGAACGCAGGTGGAGCCGCGGGCAATGCTAGTAGTATATAATTTCATACGCATTTAGTAAAAAGCTGTTATTTCGACATTACAAACAGACACTTCAATTTTATTTATCTGTATAGATTAGGTAAAGTATTTTAAACTACTTCAAGCTATGCTAGAGATAAGTTCCTTGCACTTGTGCAAATAATGCCAAATTTATAAGTCAAATGTTTTTATTTTATTTATGTGAGTTTTGAGAAATTTTGTGAAAACCTAACTTTTATATTTAACTTAAACTCTTACCTGGAAACTGAGAGCAACCACCGGTAATAAATACATTATTAGCTAGAAGTAACTGATCTTCATCACTGAAATGCTTAAACACATATTCCATAGTTTCGGCCAAACCAGCTTCCAGGTTACCCATCATAGAGGGTTGGAACATTAATTCCGGAGCCCTAAAGTATTATATAAATATTAATATATGAACGGTAATTATAACGATATTCTTGTAGGGTTGTGACATAATAAAGTTGATTTATTACAATATTTACTTACCTTAGAAGTATAAAACCCAGTGTTTTATAATTGGTAACAGTCTCAAAGGTTATAATTAGTAAAATTGTTATCAAATAAGGTTATAATTAGTAAAATTGTTATCAAATAAGTTTATAAACCTTCCTCTGAATCACTCTATTTATTGCTGAAAACTGCATTAAAATATATTGGGTAGTTTAAAAGATCTAGGTGAACAGACAGCGGAAGCGACATCATTTTATACTATGTAAAGATGATAATTAACTTTTTCTGTATGGAATCAAAAGGGTCAGACCGAAACAAATGACTACTATTGCATGTCTCTCTGTTCTAACTACAAAAATCCTAAAAAAAAGTATAAGCCGAAGTCTCATATATCCACTATCTTCGATACGATATATACGAGGTAAGTACTTGTAAGTACAAAACAAGGGTAAATCTTATACTGGAGTATTCAATTACCGGTATGGTTCTATGGCGAGGTGCAGCTGGTGGTGCTGGTGGCAGGGCTGCGGCGGCTCGTGCTCGCGCAGCGCCTCCTCCAGCTCCACCAGCCGCTCGCCGTCCGCCTCCGAGTCCGAGTCCGCCTCGCGGCTGATACTGTTGGTGACATCGCACGATCATTACGAACATATTTTACATTCTGGATACATACCGCCTATATGATCTATGATACTATACATATAATAAAATTGCAACTAAGCCGAATCTGTACATTAAATATTTTTCGGAAAATCGTATTGAAATAGACATTATTATCGCCACAAAGGCCGAATCTAGTTTTTAGAATTTTTATCTGTCTGTCTGTTTGTGATAGCTCCACGGAAAAACCACTGGAGGGATTTTGATGAAATTTGGTATGATGATAGCTGGTTATCCGTGTCGACAAATAGGATACTTTTTACTGCGGGAAAAATCTCTGAGGAATCTATACTAAACGTAAGTAGATTATAAATACATAAAAGTTGCTATATGAGAACAACACCTCATGTACGGTTACAATTAGGATTAGTACCAAGACTCATAGTTAAGCCCATTTTTTCTTCATATTTCAAGGTCAAAGCGGAGTACGGCAATGAAACTATATGAATCGCTTTTCTACATCAATCCCTTTTTGATACATAACTTTTGATATAGATCATCATTAGGGAGCCGATTGTCTATGCTTATCCTTCTAGAGTCTAGATCAGCCATACCCAACCTTTTTTTATAAGAGCCACAAACACGTTCAGTTTGAGTATAGCCGGTCTAGACCCTTTCACTGAGACTATCTATCAAATATAGTGTCAAATATAGTGCACAAGCTTAGACACAACGTGCACTACCGCGGTAGTTAACATTTACATATATTGTTAATAAAAGCATACCTCTTATATACATTCCAATACTAATTTGAGTCAGAATAATATAATATATATTAAAAATAAATGAACAAACGCACCTCTTATAAACATCCCAGTCGGAGTCTCGGTAGCCGAAGTCATCCCCGGCGGCGGCGAGGCGCGAGATGGCGCGCATGCGTTCGGCCGCGGCCGCCGTGCGCCGCCGCGCCATCGCCGCGCGCCGCGCGCGCCGCGCCTCGCGCCGCGCCACCACCTCCCGGTGCTGGGGGAGGGTACAGACTACAGGGTCAGGGGCGGACATAGGCTTTTTGGGCTGCTGTCCGGGGCCCCTAACATATAACGGGCCCCCTTTTGATAACGATGGATAATATTGTGAATATATATAAAATAAAAAAATATGTAAAATAATACAAATTATAACCCTAAGATCGATTAACACCTCCAGGTAAATTTCTAAGAAATTAATTAAATTTCTAAGAAACCTATTGTTTACTGTAACGCCGGCGTGTACGCAGTCGTGGAGTGATTAAGAACCGAACGATATCGTTGTCTTAATTTCATCTACTACTATCTATAATTATAGCTTTTATAAAGACAAAATGACAGTTAAGGCCCACAAGTGTTAACCCAGCCTCCCAGGGCCCCCTAAATTCAAATTCCGCCCCTGTATAGAATAATACTTTCTTAAACACTTCGCTGATTCATTTTCATTTTTAGTTCCCTTTGAATGCTCTATAGTAATCATGGTCACGGTAGTCTCTCCAAAAATCAAAATAAATCCGCAAAAAAAATACAAAAACATACATTTTATTTAAGGGTAAACTTTGGTCTAATATGAGCACAGTCATATTACCAAATTCTACTAATCCTATACAGTCGTCTAAAGACGTATCCGTCTTGCAGGTGAATATATTGAAAAGGAAAAATAATTTGGTTTTTTTATTTTCATCCCTCATCCCCCATTCCGCGAACATAATAACACTCCCTCGTACATACATATTAGAAATATCTCTTAGAGTACATATATTCCTGTATTAATTAAAATTTAATTTGAGCGGGTTTAATTCATATTTAGTTCACTAATTCAATGATCAATCTCAACCGCTCTATACCTTAGCGCGGGTCTCGTTGAGCCACACCAGGAAGGCGTCGGGGTCGGCGGGCGGATGGAAGCGGCCGGCAGGGCGCGGCTCCGCGGGCTCATCCGCGTTGGCGGCCGCTGCTATTCTTTGCTTATTCTTCTCTATTTTCATGTTTAGATTTGCTATTTGTCTCTATAAATATAAATTATTGTATATATAAATATATATAATACTAGCAACTCATCCTCGCTTCGCTCGGGTTCGTCCCTAGTTTGCTTTCCCATACAAACATTCACCCCCATTTTCACCCCCTTAAGAGATGATTTCCGGGATAAAATCTTATCTTATGTCCTTCCCAGGGTCTCAAACTATCTTCTTACCAAATTTCATCTAAATCGGTTCAGTAGTTTAGGAACCTATTCGATACAAACAAACAAATAATTCCTCTTTATAATATTAGAATAGATGTAAAATTCTCATGTCTACAGTGTTTGTAACAAAACTCCTCCGAAACGGCTTGACCGATTCCTATGAAACTTTATGTGTATATTCAGTAGATCTGAGAATAGGATGTAAACTTTTTTTCATACCCCTAAGGGATAAGGTTGGTACACCTCAAAAAAATAATTTATATTTTTTTGGACAAAAAAATTTATTTCAATTTTTTTATGATTCGTCATTAAAAATACATACAAACTTAAATTTTCACTAGGAACGGACCCGAGCGGAGCGAGTGTTAGTCGCTAGTATATTATAAGGCTATAACACAAAAAAATTAATTATAAAAACTGTGATCACCATTTCCTGAAATAAAGTGGCATTCTGTAACTTTTACAAATTACATTTTTCCGGGAATGGAAAAAAGCCTATGTTTATTCATTATCCGTCGTGCAATTAACCATACAAATGAACACAATATAACAATTTCGAAATTACATAAGCATTTCAATTTTATTTATAAGTACAGATTAGCTTTGTAAGCCCATTGGTTAATGCACTATAGTAATAATAAAAAACATAAATTGTTTTTAAAAAAGAGATAAATACTTCACCTGTAGATCGCCATAGTTCTTGATTTCAAATCCCTTGATTGCCTCATTAAATTCTTCAGTGTCGCCATCTTCTATCAATTCCTTCAAACATATTTAGCTTATCAATAACAATAAATGGACTATAAGTTAATTATTTAATTATAATATTATAACCATATTTTTATCAAAAAAAAAATATAATGTCATGATTAACAACAAAGTGTGTACCTGGAGAGCTAACAACTGATTTAGTTGTTCTTCATCTTCTGCGAGTCTCTCTTCCCTCTTCCTTGCATTTATTTCTAAAAGTCTCCGAGCCATTTCCTTCTTTCTTTCTTTTTGTTGCTCAGCTACGTATAGAAATAAATATATCTGGTATAAGGACACAATATAGTATATGGTCACTTTAATTATTTTATTGACTCAATCTCATCAAAACTTTGCAAATAGTAAACAAGGTGAGACAGCATATGGCTAGAAACTGGTGTTGACAGGTGTATTACTCTAAATATCTTGATTTATAAAAAGTTTAATATCCACCTGCACAATCATCAGTATACCTGTGACCGCTTGTAACAGTGCTGAAATATCGGAAATTTTTAAAGTAAGTGCTAAACATGGTAAATATCCTATTATACATCAAAATAATACCATAATTTCTTTTCCCAGGAAACTGACAGTGCAAGCAAGCCCTTAGAAGGGTGAAAAACTATTTGCCTTTCTATATGTGGGACATGTGGGAGACTACCTGTTAAACCAGAAGAACTGGATGGTTGCACAAATGGTAATTGAACTCTCTTCACATTAGCTTCATAATAATCTGGATTAGCCCATTTCCTGATCTCTTCTTGGTAGTCTAAGGCTATAGAACTGTGTTCATGTAAAATCTCCTCTATTCTTGACATTGTTATTGCATTAACATGTACAGGATATTTTAACTGCAGTAGCTTATGCATATAACTTATTATTTCACTGCCACCTAGAAATAATAATATTTTATAATAGTGTTCTCTCCTCCGTGCTAGCTAAAATTCAGTAATATATAAACTAATTGTCTACAAGAGGCACAAACCAACAAACGCATTTTCTTTGTTATAATATCAATATTGCTCATTAAATACATAAGATTTCACATTAGATGGATATTTTGATTGAAGAATGGTTTTAGATTTTAAAGGTGTACCAGTATTTTTATAAGTAATTTAAAGTAATGATTACTGATACAAATTGTTTGAAATAAAATAAAAATAAACTTCTTTAAGATGGTAATGGATTATGACTGATCTAGGGTAGAATGGTCTAAACTCTAAATAATTGTATAATTAAAATAAGTATATTTTAATATTTGTAACTAGTGGATCTGTGAAATCTATTGTTTTTATTTGTAAGTTTAATAATCATATTTTTTTTAAATTTAACTATTTAGTAAAAATATAACTACCCAAATTAATTCTTCTTGCATGTTCAGAAATAACTTTTCCTCTAATTACAGGTACTATATGTATAGTGTGATATCCACAATTAATTATAAGAGCAGTGTCTCCAATGTTATTCTTATACAAACTGAAAAGTGAGTCCACTCCATAGCTTACTGCAGGAACACGATAACCCTCAAAAAGTAGCTCTGACATTACTGAAATATTTATTGATAAATTAATTGGTTAGGCAGGGTTAAAACTTTGTGTCAATAAACTGATTTTTTTAATATTATAAGCAATATTGTTTAAATGATTATTCAAAATACCATGAGTAATTTTATTATACTAATCTAATACAATACTTACATTGTCTGCTATAATTGGGTGTAACAAAGGCTTCAGTCATAACAATGGGATGTGGAACACTTCCCTCATTGTCAATTCCCAAGTGGGAAAATATATAATCACATACTTGCTCCTGAACCTCGAAATGGGTAACTACATTTTTATCAAATTGGGTCTTTAATTGAAACCTAAAATTGTTATTAAAAATTAAATAGTAATAGCACTTCACTCATAAAAAGCAACCGACCTAGAAGTTAAAAACCAAAAATACTTTTAATAATTCTTTATAGTTTGAGATGTACCTGACAGCTTCAATATTTATTATATCATTTCCTATCTGAATAGGTGGAGTAACTGGCGGTTCCGCATCTTTTTTACATCGATCTTTTCTAGGTCTAGCTATTAGGTTCTTGAATGTTAAATATGGCTCATCATGTATTGACCAACCTACCCTGCATTGATAAGAACCTAAAATGCACAAAGTATTTTGATTTAATATCAAAATGATAATACTGTACACCTTTATTTGAATAAGAGCTATTTTACCATTATCAATAACTAATGGAATATGTCCAAATTTTATTGTAGGTCCGTATTCATGAACTATATCAGGCACTGTTTTATAGTCTTTTAAAACCAATACATCTTCTAAGTTATCTAATTCCATATTATTAATTCAATTATTGAAGTTTAGGACAATTTGACTATAGATAAAATTGTTGTGACCATGGATGACAAATAAAAGTTGTGACTTTTAGCATTGTTTGATGTTTCGCACGCATTGGTAATGTGAAATGTCATTTTGACATTAATATCAAAATATATAATTCATGAAACCATGGATGACAAATAAAACATGAACCATTAAGTCCTCTTTTTTTTTATAGAGAAAAAATCAATCTTAAACAAAAAATATAAAAACAAACCTCTCGTAGCTGTATTAGAAATCAACATAAAACAGGTCCTAATTATTTTTTTTACTTTGATCTAAATTTATCCTTTAAAAAGGAAAACGCGTTCAAAGATTTTAGCTGTTAAATTATCGACAGAAAAAGGAAGAATGAAAGATATTGCCTTAAATAAATACATCTTTTTAAAAATTGTACTGTCCTTGTATTTTTGTGTACTTTTACAGAAAATGCACTTCAAGGCAGCTTCTTTGCTCCATCACCATGCAGAGCATAAAGCTAATACTTAATACTACGTTGACGACACGTTTGACTCAGTTTGTAGTGACCTTACTTGCTGTGCCAGCGGTCGCGGGTTCGAGTCCCACTGGGGGCATTCATTTGTGTGATGAGCACGAATGTTTGTACTCCAGTCATGGGTATTTATATTTATTTATAACATGTTTTTTATATTGCATACAATTTATATATGTAGTGCATCAACTATCTGGTATCCATAACACAAGCCTCGTAGCTTACCATGGAACTAGATGATGCTGTGTGTTAATGTCCCAACATATTTATTTAAAAATTAGGTACCTAAAAAATAAATAATCCCTGTCTGTCGTAGGATAGCTCCGTTTAAATACATTTTTAAGTATTAGGTGAACTATTCATAAAATAAAACTTGAAACTAAATTAGACATTAGGGTTGAAATATAGTTAGAAATAAAACTAAGTTATAAATAATACTCATGAAGTTTATTTACTGATGGAGCCAGTTTACAGTACACACTTCAAATCGCTACCATTTCTACGTTTTAAAAATATTATATAGAATTCAATATTGATTATATTTATTTCACTTTAAGTAACAATAATAAATCTTATAGGAATGTGTTTTTTAGATTTGTAAACAATTTGTTTAACTTTTAATGCTGGCAACATGTAACTTGTATTTTAAAAATAAATAACACTTCAAATCATAAATACATGTTACTATCTGCGGGTATTTACATAATATATAATATGTTATAATTTAAATAATTTTAGGTGATGTGACATCACATGCACTATTTAAAATATTGCAGTATTGGATTTGTTTCAACAGCGTTACATTATTTACAATATTGTAATACTCAAGGATGTATGGCAAAAGAATATTGCTACTCAACTGCAATATAGTAAAAGACGACAATAACAATTTTATAATAAGTCATAGCATGTTTAGGCTTTAGCGCCGACAGCAGTGCCACCTTGCTTGTCAATTTCCTTTTCCAATTGTTTGCCAAGATACTCCCTGTAAAAAAAGTATTTATGAAATACATATACTATGCATGTATTTTACATTTTTGAATATATCAATAATTTTGAAAACGAAATAATTCAACTCTTAAGTTAATAAAACTACAAAACGTTTTGTACAAATATGAAAATTGAGAAATGCATAGCAATTACTAAGGACACTAACCAGTTGTGAACCATAAGTTTCTGTACTGCGAGCAGAGCCTCGTAACGTACATTGGGGTCTTCGTGGCTGAGCAGATACATCACGCGCTGCTTACCACCGAGTTGTTCAATAATGCTGTTAAAAATATTAAAATTTAATAATATACGAGGGCAAATAAGTTATCAGTATAAGACACACACTGATAAATTATTTAGTTACAATAGGGAAAAGCAATCTACATTCATATTATAAACAGGTAAAGTTAAGTTTATAAGCTTGGTTGTAGGGAATCTTTCAAAGTACTGAAAAAATGTGTTCACTGTTAGATTCTAAAAAACTGGCCATTGAGCTGGCATGCAGACAACATATATTGCTTGCCACACGGGTAATGGCGCACGTAGCCTTTTAGCCACGGAATCCAAAAACCAACCTAAACCCAGACAACATATCGCTCGCCGCGCGGGTATCGGCGCACGCATCCACCTAGCTACGGAATCTTAAAAATCAAACCTGTTCCAATATAGCAACCAACTAAAAACCTCATTCCAGTACATGCACAAGGTATAGGTATAGGGCCGCGTACGTACTGCTTGCCGCGCGGGTAGTGGCGCACGTACTCGCCCACGTCGTAGCAGGCCACGGCGAGCACGACGGGGTCGCGGCTGCGCTCCAGCAGGTGCACGAGCGTGCGCAGCAGCTCCTGCCCGCGCTCGTTGAGGCGCGCCGCGTTCTCGCGCCAGAACTTGGCCGACTTGTGCACGGGCGACCACTCCAGCCTGCACCACGTATGTTCATGTATATATATCATAATTACTTTAAAGTCGACTGTTTTTTTCTTCGATTTTAAAAACATAAAATGTGTATTTAAAAATTGACATTTAAAAGTCAATAATTCTATATGAATATTATGTCGATGATTTGATCGTTTTGACAAATAAGCACTAAGACGACAATATGATAAGTTAATATATGTATAAATTTATATACAAATTTCACAATACCTCTTTAACAAATATCTTTGATCTAAAAAACGAATATCTGTTATGTTAATAGAATATTACAAATGTGGTGAATAAGATAAGAAAATATTTTTTTGGCTAAAAACTATTTTTTTAATGTGAACACATATATCATATTCTTAAATTCTTTTATTGTTATAATTATTAATTTTATATAACACAAAGTTCACTCACCGTCCACTCTTAACCTCAGTGGCGTACTGGTCGAACGAGCTGAGGTCCTGCACGGAGGCTTGCAGGCGTTCGTTGAGGAAGTCCACGTCGTTCATGATATCTTCGTCGTCGGAGCGCTTTTGTTCTAAGATGGAGAGCTGCTTCAACACCTTGCATTGGACCATGGCGATGCAGTGCTCTTTTGCAACCTATTCATAAAATATAACAAATTAATGAAAGAATTTTATTATTAAGACATCTATTAATAACGTGAGTTCAAAATAGGGGAGGGTAGTCCGGGGTAAAATATCATCAAATCTCATTAAAAGTGAGGTGGGCAATATTGAAAATCTCACGTCAACTTTAAAAGAATATATATTATACAGGGGTCCAACCAAAGGAGTCTAAATTGAAATAAAAACAGCTCACATTTTTAACGGATGTCCCCTTAAACTACCGTGTACTTTACACAAAAATTACACTTGCTTAAAAATAATAATAAAAATTCGACGCTTAGTTGACGAAAACATTGCAAATCGACTCTTATTTTATCGTTGATAATTTTTTTTTAAACTAGTCAATAAGCAACGAAACATAATACTCTCGTGAGCAAAAAAATCGACTCAGGACGCACGCTTGCGGTTAAAAAGCTCGAGCAAAAAATCGGAAGCTTTTATTATATTTCTGATTTTAACATCTCAAAGTTCTTTGTTTTAGCTTTAAAATGAGTGGTCTATGTTGTTATTAAAAAATGTTTTCTGGTAAAGAAAAAATATTGAATGAGATGGAGTCTTAAGCAATAAAAAAAGTGATGGTTGACGGTAAAGAAAATACCACGTAGAATTCGTCAAAACAATAATTAAATAAAAATTATTTTTTTAATATTTAGTGTTGCCCCCCCTGGCCCTAATAACAGCTTCCAATCGCTTTTTCATGGATCGAATAAGTTTCCTTACTCGATCTTGTTCGATGCTATTCCATTCGTCGATTAGCGCTGCTTTGAGGTCCGCCATCGTGTCTGGTGCAGGATTTCTAGCCCGAACTTTTCTTTCAAGATCATCCCACAAATGCTCGATAGGGTTTAAGTCCGGGCTACGCGCTGGCCAGTCCATAGCGGCAATTGCGACCTCCTGTAAATACTGCCGAACGAAACTTGCAGTATGTGGACGGGCATTGTCGTGCATTAGGACGAAGTTTTCGCCAATGAAACCTGCGTAGGGAACGACGTGATCCTCTAAAATCTCTTCGATGTATCGGATCGCCGTCAATCCTCCCATTCGATCGCCAGTTTCAATAAAAACCAACTCGGTTTTTGCCTCGCTTGAAATGCCGGCCCTCACCATCCAGGAACCTCCTCCAAAAGCAACATTTTCTTTGATACAGCACTGCGCGAATCTTTCCCCAGGTCTTCTGTAGACTCGTCCTCTTCTATCACTACCATGCAAGCACACTCTACTTTCGTCTGAGAAGAGAACGGTGCTCCATTGTTCGTCAGTCCAATCAACATGTTCTCTAGCAAAACGTGCGGGCTGCTCGGTGGTCTGGGGTTAATTTGGGGCCAGTAGTTGGCCTTTTTGGCTCAAGCCTAGCTGCCTTAAGTCGTCTTCTGACTGTCCAGCCACTCACAGCTACTCCTCGCGTTTCCCTGAGCTCTTGTTGGACTTGAACGCCAGTGAGGGTCCGATTTCTTAACGATGTGCTGACAATAAATCGGTCATCTCTCTCTGATGTGCACCTTTTTCTACCGGAACCGCGTCTTCGATTAAAGCCACCAGTCTCCTGGTAACGACGGTAAACTCTGGAAACAGCAGACTGGCTCATGTTCAGTGCACGTGCCACTTCACGCTGACTCTGGCCTTGTCGCAATAGGGTGATCGCTTGAGCTGCTAAATCGCTTGTTGTGTCCATTTTCAGGTAGAATTCTTGATTGTTGATAACGGAGATGTGTATCGCTTGACGTTTGACGGCTAACTGATAAGGGTGGGTCAGGTAGATAACCTTTTATATGGGTCAGTAACCCTTAATTAGCACTATTGTAAACAAGCGTAAAAAGGGTGGTTACTGATCACAACATATTGTTGGGTTGTGTGAGCAATAAACCTTACAATATTTTATATCATTTTGAAGCTAATACTAGCAGCTTTAAGATTTTACTATGAAAAAAATATATTTGCTTTCAGTTTTTTTTCCAGTGACTTGCGACTACAGATGTGTCGTCTGAGTCGATTTTTTTGCTCACGAGTGTATATAAAATGCACTTTACACCAATTAATGTTTTTTAATTGTTAACTTCTTAAACTTAAACAATATTTTATTAAAAGGTATAGTCTATACATATAAATAAAATGGCCTGTCCATGATTTCAAAATTACTATGTTTACTCAAGTACATAGAGTTATTTGTATTATGATACCAGTACCTAAACAGCCTTTAAAAAAAAATGTCTGTCTGTCTTTCTGTTTTCTATCGAACTGCTTAACCAATTGTAATGGGACTTTCAATGGAAGATAGGAGTTTGTACTTTGTAGGTCATATATAATAGGGTAAATATTTAGGGTTCCAACGCGAAAATCAAAATCCCTTAAAGATTTTGCAAATTTGGAGCTTACAATTTCACGAAAAAGTCCGCGATAGCATGTGTCCAGTCAAGCGAGCCTAGCCTGGTCCTAAGGTACACAATAACCATTTTTATTTATTGATAACACACCCAGCAGTAAATAATATGAAAGAACTAACAGGAAAAATCATGACTAAGCACAGCAAGCACCTTAACTTTTACTTTTAAGTCATTTTAAAGTGAAAGATTACAGAAAGAATTCCTTTCATCCGATTTTGTTAAAATTTGATATAGGGACAATAAAATAAGGTATAAAATGGAAAACCAAAAAACACACGTAAGAAACTTGACATGAAGCATTTAAATATAAAAACTAATTATGAAAACAATTTTTATTACAACAAAATATAATAATTTAATCGAAAGAAATGTGAATATCAGCATGCAAGACAAAAATTACTCACCTGTTGGTCTTCAGGTTTCTCGATTAGGTTGCGGAAGACGGCTAGCACGATGCGAGTGACCTTCTCCTTTACAGAGTCGCTCAGAATATCAGCTAGGATGGGAATGGCGTTGAACTTGTTCATCTTCTCAGCGAGCAACGGATTGAATGTCAGCACCCACAGACAGAACACTAGCTGGTATTGGACCTACGGAAAGCATTTACAGTTTATTTTAAAAACTCTAGAAATAATTTTATGCAACATTATAATATCGTTCAAAATACACGAGGATAGCAATAGCATACATTAATTATAAATATTACTGGCATGTTTTCTAGACAGGACTAGCTAGACTCACTATTAGCACAGTATATGGATTTTGATCATAATGAGAATTCCGTCAAATGCAAGGGTTGCTAAAAATACCAATTCAGTTTTTAAGTGAAAGTGCTTTAGACTGTAGCAAATTACACTAATACCTGTCAACCATAAAGCAGTGTTCCAACTATATTATATAAAATAATTATAAATTAAAAATTTAAAGAACACTAATTAATTGTCATTTAACAATTACACTGGCACGCGTGAAGCACTTAATCGAGTAATCATACGCCAAAATGCCTTACACCATTTTGGAAAAATGCTGATACTCTTACACTCCTGGACCGATATTAACCAAACATAGCTAAGAACCACCGCAAGGAAACTGGCTTTCAAATGAAAAAAAACTACTGTTTTTGCGTCGGAGGGTCAAAAAGTACGTAATGATATTAGGGAGTGCGTCACCCGCGTTTCACTTCGCACGCCTTGTCTAGACACTTTCCATATATACTTTTTTTTTTATAATATATAAATAAAATAAAAAAATAAAAATAGTTGTATGGTTAGTAGACTGTGGTATAACTTTAATATTATTGTATGCAATAGAGGAAAAAGAAGTACAGTCTTGTAAATAAGCCTTTAATAGCATTGAAATTTCTATAATATTTATTGATAACCAGCGATTCACACTCGCTTCGCTCGGGTTCATCTCTAGCTGCGTTTTAACGGTTACTATGGAATATATATAACTTGTTTTCCTGTGGAAATGAGATAATCTCCCGCGGTAAGTAGCCTATATCATTCTCCAGTCCTACAACTATCTCTACACAAAAAATTACGCCAATAAGTCACTCTGTTTCGACGTAAAAGAAGAACAAACAAATAAAGTCAAATTCAAACTGCATATCGTAGAAATAGAAAGTATCAAATCTACAAATGCATTCAAATACATAGTTAATATTAATTTTAAGGTCGCGTTGATAATAATCATAAAGTAGTAGTAAGAAAAAAGAAAAATGCAATTTTAACGGGTTTCTTTTCTCTTCATAAGAACCTCCCTTGAACTTCAACGATAATTGAAAAAAATAATAATAATTGCCAAATTGGTCCAGCCGTCCTCGAGCTTTGCGCATAGCAATAAATTTAGCCATTCATTTTCATTTATAAAAAGATCACAATCTAAAAAAAATGTTTATACCTGGAAGTTAACCCTCGAAGCGAGAATAGACAGTAGAGTAGAAATGCCATCGACGGACAGGAATGCAAAGCGGTACTCGTCGACACGCAGCATCATTTGCAGGCAGCGCGCCACCGACTGGATGTAGTCGTTGTTCTGCAGAAAAATATGCACTATCTGATGTAACTTCCATAAAATTTTTATTTAGATATTGCTAATTAAATCTCTTCAAAAAAATCAGAATAATCTTTAAATTAAAAATAAATTTCAATTATTTTAGAAAATTTATAATCAGTTCTATATTGTAAAAATTGGAAAAGTTTTTCTTTGATGGATTTATCATAATATAATAATTTAATATAACATAAACTATTTTATTAAAAAGAATAATGTATAACTGATACACAATTTAAGAGTTTGGCAATCGTTAGCAGCGTTTATAAATAATTCTTATTATATTAGTTAAATATATTTAGAAGCAGTTCTTTGTTTCAGAAGAACATACTGCGATTTTAAGCAATTACTTTAAATGTACATAATATACAATATTAGTGTTAAGTGTTTAGTTAGTAAAAGCATGCAAGAAATTTACAAATAGATACCTTTAGTAGAATAAATGTCATTTAAAAAATAACTCCCGTAGATGATGAGCTATTTTAAAATATGACTTCATTCTAGAAAGATTAAAACAACATTAGTGACAAATTTCATATAGAATCTCTCTATAATAAAACAAGAAGATTAGACACATTCCACATTATTCGACAACAATGGTGTGTTGTCAACTGGGAATACCTTATGGAAGCCAGGCAGCCAGTCCTCATGTGATTTGAGAACATCAAAAGAGGTGTAAAGGCTCGAATATTTTTCTTCTTTATCCTTATCTCCTGCATGCTTGTCCTTGTGGTGTTTTGTGTGTTTATCGGAGAAATGTTGTTTCTCGTGTTCCAACATAACCTGCTCAGCGTGTTCTAACTCAGCTGACACTTTCTCCGCCTTACCAGAAAACAAATCTCTCAGTGTGATCTCAAGCAACTCCTCGACGCCCCGATGCATGATGCTCGAATGATGATGTTCACAATATTAATTTAGGTTCAAGGGCAGATCCAAGAAGAGACAATCCTAGACTAGTTTGGTTAATGCCTATTAATGTTCAAGCATCTATCACACTTGATATGCAAAATAAAAATATATAATAAAAAGCAGTTTTATGAGTTTACTGAATACCCAAACGTTTTTTAGGTAAAACAATAGCAAAGTTTGTGAAAAAAATCTGCATCATGCAATAAATAAATTTGTCTTAAGAGTCAGAAAATAGGAAAGTAGTAGAGATGGGCCTGAACCGAATATGAACTCAGGCCGAACATTCGATGAAAATATAAAATACGGCCGAAATTCGGCCGAATTTCAGTTCAATTTCACCGCACTTTCTCGAGCAACACGTCGTGACCCTTTAATAATTAAAAATACTTTATGATTCTGAGTGTTTAGTTAGTTAACCAAAAACATGTTTTTAATTCAATTTTGTATGAATTGTAATTAATTAATATTTTGAAAGAATACATACCTACTAAGTTTATTTCATTTTATCTATATAATTAGGCAAAGATTTTTGAGACTGTTAAATTAAGAAGAACTAATTTAATTTTTTATCGCATACTTAGTAATATATACTATACATGTAATAAAATTGTAACTAAACCGAATCTGTACATTAAATATTTTTTGGAAAATTTTATTGTAATAAACATTATTATCGATACAGAGGCCGAATCTATAGTTTTTAGAATTTTTGTCTGTCTGTTACCGCATCACAGAAAAACCACTGGAGGGATTTTGATGAAATTTGGTATGGTGATAGCTGGTTATCCGGGTCAACATATAGGATACTTTTTACCGCGGGAAAATGTTCATTTCTGAGAAAAAATAGCAATGTAAGAGTATACTAATATGTGCCTAAGAATTTGGTTTTTGGTCAAACATTTTTACCTGCTAAGGTTTTTTTTAGGATTTTTGGATTCCGATCGCACTAATGTATATAAAAAGACTTAATTTTATTTTATTGTTTTGACAGACATGCTTTCTATTTACTATAGTCAGAATAGTGCAAGCAGGTATTTTTTTCCTATTGCCGAATGTTTAGCAGTCCAACAGAATTTCCGAACCGAATCAAGCTGCCGAAATACGGTTAAACCTAATGTAATACGAATTTCGGCCCATCTTTAGAAAGAAGACAAAATTTTGGAAATGCTCTTAATTTATAGGAAGTACACATATTAACTAGAAAAAAAAATCTGATTAAAGAAGACATTTTCTCTGAATAACTCCAAATTTCCGCTAAAGCACTCGAAGCTATTTTTGGACTGTACAAGAGCGCCATGCCATGAAGGAAAATATATAGAAAAAGTTAAAGAAATAAAATTATATGAGTAAAATCCCTGTTTAAATTTAGATATCTTCAAAGAAATGATAATAAAATATAAGGTATGAATAAAAATTATAGCCAATCATTTAAAGATTAGTTAGTAGTTTAATGTGAAAAAGCAGATGCACCCTCCTGGGAATAATTCTGCCAGCGCCCATGACTACAGTATACTATTTCGCCAGTTTCGTAAGGGGTAACGTCACTCACTATGTTTGATATACAAGATTTATGAAGCGAAATACTGCTTTTTATTTTATTTTTAAATTATTTATATTAAATGGGACTTCCATAACTAACAATAAGACATCACAAACAATAACTTAAATATCACTATACATATCTACCAGAGAGCAATTGTGAGAAGATGGTACATAAATTATATGATTATTTCCTAAATATAAATCTTTTAAGTGTAATTTTTGAATTAATTATTATTTAATATCAGCCGTTAATTTGTTTTCAAAACATTTTAAATTAGGGTTGGATCCACCCCTGTTTAAATATGTTGTTTAGATACAATGATATGGTATAGTTTGTTAGAAGCTTTTTGTTTGTGCTGCTAAGCCTTGCCAAAACAATTTTTCTAAGTGTTTACAATATATAACATAAGAGTAACAGAATTTATTTATAAATTTGTAGTGTATTTAAATATTATATTAGGAAATATATTTTAGTAAAATGAATATGATGAACAGTAGATTATAAATTTCATTACAGATACATAAAATATTGATGACATACATTAAATTTTATAAAAATATACATAAAATTTATAAAGATTTCTGAAAGGGTCTTGCCAGCAATTGCAAAGTAGCGGGTAGCCTACTCCCAGTAGAAAAATCTATTAAGAACCATTTTGTCTTTTACAGTCTTTTTTTTCAAGAACTGCTTGGAAATATTAAAAAGATTAAAGAAGTAGAAGGAAAGGTTTCCTATTTAAGAAACTTTCATCTTTTAGATCATATCATCATGAGAGAAGTCCTGAATATAAAAAAAGTTAAGGTAGTCTTGTAAACTTACTAATATTATAAATGTGAAAGTTTAGATGTTTGGATGTTTGTTACTCAATTACACCAGAACGGCTGAACGGATCTGGATAAAATTTGGCACAGACATAGGTATAGTCTGGAATAGCACATAGGCTTTTTATCCTGCAAAAATGTAGGGATCCCGTGAGATAATTTGTTTTTCTTTTTCTAGAGGTGAACCTGAGGAAAGCAAGGGTGAGCCTCTATTATATTTTTTTTAAAAGCCAGCTAGACCCTTTTTTACAAATCCCTAAATATTATGTAAATGTAAAATCTTTATTTAATTGATTGATTACATGTGTATACTTTATCTAAAACAATATTATCCTAAGTAGTGACAGTCTAAGAATAAAGCCTTATACTTAGAGATGAGTTAGCAATGTCACATGCAATTTTATTTATTTACTGCCATGCAATTATTAACCAATATGTATAACAAATCACTATAGTACGTATATGATTTCAACTCCACTCACACTGTAATAGTAAAACCTATAACTATAGTACACTCAATTGCAATTTATGGGTGCAGATACTTTAAAAGTATGTATGTATATAGAATATATATTATGTTAATATAAAGTGGCATTAAAAAAAAAACAGAAAAAAAAATCATTTAAAATCAACATGCTTGAATATTACATCAAATTAAAATGTACATTCAAATCAATGTGTTTAATTTTATAGAAGATAAAATAAACTCACATTCATCTTAAGTTGATCCTTCAACCAGGATAGGTAAAAATGCAAATCACTCTTCTCCATGAGTTGTGGATGCCAGCATGCTAATTTGGCGATAATACGAGCAGTCATATGCTGAACAAACTCATCCTGACGATTAAGCAAGTTCAGGAATGGCTGCCAAACATTACCATGTTTGGCATTACGGAATATTTTCACACGCGATTTGTCTTCCTGAAATAAGAACAAATTAATTGAAAAAAATAATAATGAGGCATTTGTTTTAATTTTCTTAGAAAACAATTATATTAACAATAGGAGAATAGACTGTATGCAATTAGACAGGCACACTTTTTTATGGTAATTATTTTATTCAAACCAAACCCTGCGAATAATCTATATCATGATAATACTTACAGAAAGAATGTCATCAATCAATACAAGAACATACTGAATAGTGTTATCTTTGCTAATGTGGGTAAGCAAGTTAAGGAATACATCAGCACAGTTATCAGGGTTTTTGTCTGGCAAATCTTTCTGTCCGCGTTGATCTAAGTTCACAATGAAGTCGTGGTCACGCTGTGTTATCATCTGTGATCTGTTAACATAATCTTATATAATAATTTATATCTAAAATATATTTTTTTAGTTTTAAAGAAATCAATACTCACTGCAAGTAAGATTGCCAGTTAATCTGGCTTTGACGAATCTCACTCGCTCGGATTTGTAAAACACTTGTAGCAGCAATCATATCTAAAAAGAAACAAAATAATATTTTAATATTTGTCTAATTTTTTTTGCCAAAGTATGGATATGTAATTACATAGTTTATAAAGAATTTGCTGAAATACGTACCGATTTTTTCATCGCCAAGCGTTGGAATTAATTTGCTGACATTCTCTTCATTAATATGAGCCATTTTGGCTTACAAATAAACGAAAAAGACCCACTCACAATAAGATAGTTTTTGGTGAGAAATATTCGTCAGAAAATAGAAAATTAGGAGACAGCTAACTCAGCTGAGAGGTCTTGTGACTACTCGAAGTGAAGTTAGCTTTAAATGTAATAATGTATTGCTTACCTTCTTTAATGTAGACTTTTTTCGCTGAAAGTAAAAGAGACGGCAATATATATTTCGAGATTGTCTACACTGTATTAAAAGCAAGAAAGCAACATTACAAAATAACTTTATGTCAAATGCTATTAAAAGTTCAGAAATTTAATTTCATTTTTGCTTCTTACAATTAATTTGGTTTAATTCGACATGCTTAGATTTGCATGCCACAAATAATCACTTTTGAAATAAATATTCATATTATTTTTAATAAATTACTATAAAAATTATATGCATATTTATTTTAAGTGAACTATAATACTTATAGGTTGTATAATTATGAAAATATAAATGAGAAGAATTGTTTTTTTTTTGTTATTTAAACAGGCATAATAAATTTAATAATTTATTAATGCTATTGTATAAGACAACTATGTATGGATTAAAAATTGTATAGGCAAGATGTACAACAAGAGTCTTAAGTTGAACGGCATAACCCGTAGGACGAAATATAAAACTAAGATGATACTTAGCAACCATATAAACGACTAGAGAAACACTAATAGAGATCTATTAGTTCCTTCGGGAACCCGTTCATTTTACCGGGATGAAAAGTAACCTGTTGTTTGAGTTTGAAGAATTAAGTAAATTAGGTGCATAAGTTGTTGTATACTAAGCTGGCTAAGATACTATAGTTTTTTAACTATCCCACGGGAACTATTTAATTTTCCGGGATAAAAAGTACCTATGATGTTGCCCGGGGATATAAGGTACCACCATAAAAAATCATTTAAATCGGTCCAATAGATTCAGAGATTAGCCCGTACAAACAGACAAACAGACAGAGAAACAAAAAAAAATGAAAAAAATTGTTCTATTTGTCTTCTTACATCCCCCTGACGCGGTTTTTAGCATTTTTTTTTCTATGTACAGACATTCGACCCCTACAGTTTTATTAAAGTATAGATATAAATTCATTTAAATCCAGTAGTATGTTCCCGTTGGATAATAGTTATTATATTATTTTCTATTATTTTATAGCATTTTAATTTTTATTCTACCAACATTGGTAAAAGAAATAAATGCAAATTTTTTTACACGGACTATTCTATTAGTGAAAAATGTTTCCATTTGTTATAATTATTTTATTTAGGTACTTATTTATAGAGACATTATTATTAAAACCTACGCAAATCGCGCAATAATTTTATAGTTAATATAAAAATATGAAACACTTTCATGATGTTGTTTTTATTTACTATTCATATAAAAATTAGATTGGGTAGGTACCTATTTGTAACAAAACATTGTGGCGCATTTTCATTCGCAATCAATTTTATTCAATTATTTTTACATTATCATAAATAGGTTATATTTATATCATAATATGGTCATTTCTTTTAAAAAACAAATCCACTGCTAAGAGAATAATTACTTTAAGTATTACTTATCATCTATTCTAATATTGTAAAGTAGTACTATTTGTAAAGTAGTACCTATGGGCGTGAGCTTGAGATTTAATGAGCCGATTCCAAAAATTTTAACTGATAAAAATCTTTGATTGTATTTTATCCGAATTAAAATATTAACCCTTATAAATATAAGTAATTTTATTAAACATTGCTTAATAGACATATCGGATAATAATTAGTTCCTACCATGGACGACAAATGTTCCTACGATTACGCATCTAAAATTTTATTTGTAGATAATATGACAATTTTATTCATACGTATATTAAAAATCAATATAAAATGATTATTGAACGAAATACTGCAGGAATATGCTTTGTTTTGTAGGATTTAAAACCATGGATGACAAATAAAAAACTACCTGCATACTCTGGGATCAACCACAATTAAAAATCGGCGCACGTATAATTTTAGAAATTTTAACCCAAAAGTGCAAGGGCACATAGAAATAATGTAAGAAATAAGAAAATTGACTGTGGATATACTGGAGAACAATAACGAAAAAGTTTTTAGTTTCGGGAGATAAAATGGAAGAAGACGCGGTTTAAAAGAGTTATATAATATTATTATTTATAGCGACTGACGCTCGCTTTCGCTTCGTTTTACGCTTCGCTCGGGTTCGTCCCTAGGTACGTTTTAACGATTTGTTTGGAATAGATAGTGGATCCTTGTTCTGAAAAAAACAAAAACAACCCAGGGAAACCGTTTATTTTTCCGGAATAAAAAGTAATTTCATTCAGATTCGTTCAGCCATTCTAGCGTGATTGAGTAACAAACATCCATCCATTCAAATTTTGCATTTATAATATTGATATTAATGGGATAATAATTGTAAAAAGTAAAAGTTATCTAGAGACTAATTGGGTCGCTAGGTATATTACAATAATTCTATATATATATATATATATATATATATATATATATATATATATATATATATATATATATATATATATAATAAATAATAAGTGTAAAAATTAATTCTAGTTTTAAAAATTAAATGTCAGCTTCAGTCAAATCGGCATTCATTTTTTACAAATAATCAATTTGTATTTTGAAAAACCTTACATGAATTTTGTTAAGGACGATTCCATCCCTTATTTTGAGGGAGATTGTGACAGAATTCGAGGGTGTTGAAAACGAATTTAAACATAAAATATATAATCTCTTATCTATTACAAAATAATATTTTTATGTATAGCAACACATGTCCATTGTTTTTTTAAATGTGTCATTTGTTGTGTCAAGCAAAAATGTACTACGCGTACGCATATTAGTTATTACTATCGACTATCGAGTTTTCACTTAACGAGAATCGACCTTATAACAGTATAAATATGGTGTCAAACTACAATAAAAAATATTTAAAAAAGCATATTTATCCTTATGAAACTTTGATAAACTAATAATTTATTTACCGGAATTCATTATACTAAATCAATGTAACTATTATTTTCACAAAATACCAAATCTTCACTAAAAATCTAGGTTAGAAAACTTGTAGAACTTGTGATTTATTATTAATCAATATGGAAGAAATAAAGTGATAATATTAATTGATAATTAATGTTTTAAGATAGCTCTTTATTATTGTGCTATAATTTTGTACAACACTGAAACTTAGTGTTATTGTTAATTAAAATTTTGAGGTACTTACGATTGTACCTTTCAGGATCAACCTCTCGTTTCGGCCTAGCTTCCATTTTTAAGATTTGATGTTATTTATTAAAATATGTTAATTAAATGCTAAAATTTCGTATGGGTGATTCATAATAGTTTATTTTTGTATAAGAAGTTGACTTTTTGTGTTACAGATTAATAATTTGAGCTTGGACTTGTGACACATTCTGCTAAAAATAAATTTTGGGAGCTGGCCAGTTCTTTTGTCATGACTAGTTTGCAATCAAATGCAGACTGTCAAGTTAATGATTCTAAAAATGCATTTCCAACAGATGCTGAATCATCATTACATCTACCATTAGATGGTTCAATGTGTATTGTATTTACTGGTCACTATAATGGGGTTGGTGTAGAGATCAGATCTCCTAATGAAATGGCATTATTATCGCATATGGGTTGTTTTGGAAAAGGGTCTGCATCTAGATCTAAACCTAAAATTATAGAAAACAATACCAGCCCCAGTATTATGCGTAAGAGGCAATTTTTGAAAAGAAACTACTGGTATAAAAAATTTGAAAAACATGAAAGGATTATAGAATCAGATAATTTTTTTAAAGACATTGATAATCTTATTACAAAGATAGTTCATGATACTAAAAACCAAGTAGGAAGAGATGTTATTGATTTAGTTTCAACTGATGATGAGAATAGTGGAAATGAAAATTGTAATAATCAAACTGAATTCGAAGAGTTAGGAAAGAATAATATTGTTGTTTTAGTACCCAATAGTGATTCCGAGGGTGATAATTATTTTGCTAATATTAAACCTAAGTGTTGCATTAACAAAATCAGTTTACAAGAGAAGTTAATATTAACATTAGAAGAAGCTTTCTTTTTGCTTTATGGATTAGGATGTTTACAAGTTGTTTATAATGATCATCATATTTTTAATATAGAGGAGTGTTGGAAGGCTTTTAGTGAAAGCAATTCTCAGTTTATTGAAAGATATGTTGTATACCATTACTTTAGGTCAAAAGGGTACATTGTCAAGCCAGGGATTAAGTTTGGGGGTGACTATTGTAAGAAATATTACTTTAAAAAATATACTTGAATTAAGAAAAATATATCTTTGATAAACACAAAATAAAATTGAAATCGTTTTTAGTGCTCTACAAAGAAGGTCCAAGTGTTAATCATGCAGATTATATAGTCATTATAAATTTTGGACACAATAATTTTAACTGGGTTTCCATACTTGGTCATGTGAGGATGGCTACAACAACAGTTAAGGTGATATAATTAATAAAAATTAATGACTCAACTTCTTTTGAATTACTAGAAATGATGATTTTATTGGTTTATTTTAATTTTGATTTTCAGGAGATAATGATTGCAGAAGTTATTAAACCATCTAAAATAAATATAGATTTGCCACAAGATTTATGTGAATATAAGGTTCGAGAATTGGTACTAACAAGAAAACTACCTGTAAAAATAAATGATTCTGAAGACTAAATAATTTATTTATTTGATTTTATATATATTATACACTACTAACAATATCATTAAATTTATGCTCTTTTCATTGGTTTTTTAATTCCTGTTCTTCTGTATTCACTTCTTTCTTTTAAATATTCTTCAGTGCAAATTTGTTTAAATTCTTCATTACGATACCACTCTGCTAGGCATGATTTCATAGTAGAATTCTCGTCTCTGCATTTAAAAACCATAAGTATAGAAGACTCTTTGCAACATTCATTAAATTTTGCAACTTCTTGAACACATTTTTCAGTTTTGGCTTTTTCTCTTATCAGTTTAGGAATGACAACTTCAACTTCAACTTTCCTGAGACTCTTGTCATTAGGGTCTCCTAAAAATACAATAACGTAGGGTTCAAAGTTATTAAAATTAAGTATTGCATATTAAAAATTATTATTTATTATGATTATGATAAGTAACCTAAACCGTGAGGACCCTCGGAGAATTTTTTTGGCAGTACAGATGCTTCAGGCATTTTTTAAATATGTAATTATAATTCCTACAATAGTTACATTTACAATTATATTAATAGATCGACAACAATCGATATATTTGAAACTTTACGTAAACTAAACTCCTCTATCAATTTAACGTAGTTTTTGACATTGTTAAGTCGTGAGATGAGAGTGACTTTGACATTGACATTCGTTAATGCGACGAACGACAGTTTATAGACTATATATACTAATAGTAGAGACTAGAGATCCAGATGGAAAAAAATGAAAAATGATTTGAAATATCTCAATCAGTTTTTGAGATATTTGCTAAAAACTAAACCCCTATTTTTATTTTTAGCTAATTGTTTTAAACTTTTGCAATTTTTGAAAGCGGATCTTGATTTTTTTCAAAAATCATCAACATACCATGCTGAATGGAATGACATCTCTTTCATATTTTTCCGCCCCCGCTGAAAAAAGTTGACCGAAAAGGCACTTCTTGACTAGACTATTAACTATTGATTTGTTTTAATTTAATTGCAATATTTGCCCAATTAGTTTTTACTTCACAAAGTTACACGCACCCATTTTTTACATTTAATTTATTTAGAGTAGTATTAGCAAAATCGATGAAAAATGATGTTGTTGTAACGAAGTATTTTAACACTAGCAACATCGTTCATGACTTCATGAGGTTGCATATTCGACAGCTTGGTTGTCAAACTCAAACTGAATCCTTCATGTCATCATTAAAACATTGCTTGGTCGCCTGAATTTTATTTAAAATAAGACATTATTTTTGTTCAAATTTTAAACCCTAAATTATATTGTACGCATTTACGTTAATAAATTATTATCTTCTTATTTAAATACTTTCAGGTGAGTAAATAAAAGTATTTAAACTTTGTTTCTAAACCTATGTTCTTAGGTAAAATGCCGTACTCTTATTTTACTCTTTTGTTATTTGAAGTGAGAAACCAGTTGTGAAACATGGATCGTCTCTTACGTCTTGGAGGAGGTATGGCAGGTTTGTCTCAAGCTCCTCCTCCTACTGACGCACCTGTAGTGGATACTGCTGAGCAAGTGTATATATCTTCGTTGGCGTTGTTAAAAATGTTGAAACATGGTCGAGCAGGTGTGCCGATGGAAGTCATGGGCCTTATGTTAGGTTAGTAAAAGAATTACTTTGTGTATTATTTACATTCCTACAAATCTCTGTGTTAAGAATTAAGATTAAACTTTAATTATGTTTGATTTGTTCTAGGTGAATTTGTTGATGATTACACGGTCAGAGTTATTGATGTGTTTGCAATGCCCCAAACTGGCACTGGAGTGTCAGTAGAAGCTGTTGATCCTGTATTCCAAGCAAAAATGTTGGATATGTTGAAACAAACTGGACGACCCGAGATGGTTGTTGGCTGGTAAGCATGTTAATATATTTTATTATGCAGAAAATTAAAAAAAAAAACTATATTAGCAGCAACTTTAAGGTTGTGAGGCATTTGTTTAGAGGTAACTTTTTGTAGTAAATTCTTAATAAATTATTGGAAATGCACTCACTTGAAACAAAAGCTATGCCTAATTTGAAATTGCTGAATTATTATTATTATTGTCGAATGAATTAAATTTCCAGGTACCATTCACATCCTGGTTTTGGTTGTTGGCTGTCTGGTGTTGATATTAACACTCAGCAATCATTTGAAGCATTATCTGAGAGGGCTGTAGCAGTTGTAGTTGACCCCATACAGTCAGTTAAAGGCAAAGTGGTCATAGATGCATTCCGCCTCATTAATCCAAATATGATGGTCCTAGGACAAGAGCCAAGGCAAACAACTTCAAACCTGGGCCACTTACAGAAGCCTTCAGTACAAGCATTGATCCATGGTCTAAATCGTCACTACTATTCTATTAGCATAAACTACAGAAAGAATGAGTTGGAGCAAAAAATGTTGCTTAATCTTCATAAAAAATCTTGGATGGATGGACTTACACTATCAGACTACAAAGAGCACTGCGTAATAAATGAAACGACAGTTACAGATATGCTTGAGTTAGCCAAAAATTACAATAAGGCTCTTGAGGATGAGGAAAAGATGACTCCAGAACAGCTCGCAATAAAGAATGTTGGCAAACAAGATCCTAAGAGACATTTGGAAGAGAAGGTTGATATTTTGATGGCTAATAACATTGTGCAGTCCCTTGGAGCTATGCTTGATACAATGGTATTTAAATGATTGTGTGTGGCATTTTTTTATCAGTTTTAAGGTTAAATAAAATGATAATTGTAAACTCAAGTCTCATATTCTCTTTGTAACCTCATAAGTATTGTTTACTTGTGTTTTAGTCTTATTTAAGATATTTAGGTAAATAAAAACAAATTCAATATTATTTCTTTATTTTAGTAAAACAGTCTTTGTGGAGCTATTTGTCTACAAATGCTTGCAAGTTTTCTTTCAACTAGTGGATGTTTCATATTAGCAAAGTCTATATCGAACATTGGTTTAAGTTTTTTCTGAGAAGCTACAATATCTTTAATTATATTCTTCAATTTTTTAAAGGCAACATTATGATTATCCATAGATACCTAAAATATACAAATTAGTATAATTAGTATGTGCGTGTATTCAGTCCTTGTTAACCTCCCACTGCTGTGCACGGGCCTCCCGTCAATATGAGGGATCAAGCTATAGTCCAACGCGCTCCTTTGAGTGATAGGATAGAAAAGGCTGTGATAAAAAAATTAAAACAGTCGAGAATTTTTATCACCAGAACTATTTATTTAGACAAAAAAATCTATTGTAAAATTGTGCAGAGAAGTTAATCAAGGTTAAAGAATGAGGATAGCTTTTTTTCAATATTTCTTAAATTAGTAGCTAGTATTATGTTATCTGTGATAGTAGTTTAACTGTAATTTTTATTAAAGGCTCTATACAAAATTTTATATGTAAACATTTAATAAATTATATTTTTTAATTTTAATAAAACAAATATATCCTTCTGGAACCATACATTTTTCTCAATCTCATCTCAATCTATGTGCTATTCCAGACTATAATCTATTACTGTGCCAAATTTCATCCAAATCCGTTGAGCAGTTCTGGCGTGATTGAATAACAAACATTCATCCATCCAAACTTTCGCTTTTGTAATTAGATAACCATATTTAATGAACTAATTTAAACTTTTCAAGTGACGTAATCACGTACACGTACAACATATTATTATATACGTAATTCCCAAACATGTATCATATGTAGGTAGTAGGTATAGGTTTCCACAATGTTTTTATTAATAACTAGCGGCTCACCCTCGCTTCGCTCGGGTTCACCTCTAGAAAAGCACAAACTGATCTACCCCACGGGAACCGTTCATTTTTCCGGGATAAAAATAAGTAACCTGTTGTTTGATCTGCAATATAAGGTATCAGCATGCCAAATTTTACCAAATTAGGTGCATAATTTGTTGTGTACTGAACTGTATAAGTTACTATAGTTTTTTAACTATGCCACGGGAACTCTTTAATTTTCTAGATTATCGGAGATTAGCCCGTACAAACAGACAAACAGACAGAGAAACAAAAAAATTGAAAAAAATCTGGATTTGTTCTATTTCTCTCCTTACGGGATGTAAGAAGAGAACTGACTCGGTTTTTAGCATTTTTTTCTACCATCTATGTATGTGTTCTTAGATTTACGCGAATATTTGACATTTTAAATAAAACTATCTTTTCGGATTTTGTCGCGGATTTATTTGTATTTTTGTTTCCCGACGTTTCGAATGCTTTACAGCATCCATGGTCACGGGAGAGACTGAGGTGTTACATGTCTTAAAGATATAGTTGTTACAGACAGCCTACCCACAATTAACAAAATGAAAATTGCACCAATTACATTACAATATTTTAACTTTAAATATTTTTATAATTTTAATTATAATTGAATATGGAAAATTATTTATTTAATTTTTGCTATTATTTTTATAATTATTACAATTTTAAAAATATTAATTAGTAATCTATATTTAGTGTTGCCATTATTATATTTATAACCATAAGAAAAATATAAAATATAGTATTAATTATTTAAGCCACAATTGATCTGTGTAATTTGAAAAAGTTAAGATTAATTAAAAATTATAATTTTAATTTAAATTTGCTATTATTTAAAAAACAAATTATTAAGCAACACATTACTACATACATTTACAAATGAAAAAGTGAAAAAATATTATTAATCAGAAATGCTATCATTTTGATCTACACAGTAAGAACTTACTACATCTACCTGTCTGTTATGTTTAGATTTATTATTAGATTTTATTATATTAATAACAGGATCCCATGACGATGGTAGTACCCAGCCATCTTCCCTATTGAAATTAGGATGTTTTTTAATTTCTATGGCTTCTCGAATCATTCTAGGGCGATATCGGTTTTCCTTCGCCAGGATTTGAGGCCTATCGAAGCGAATATAATGGCTTGGGCGGTCCTGACTGTGTTTGCAGACAGCAGATGTTGTATTGCGACGGTGCTTCACATCAGCTATGTGTTCTTTGACCCAGCTTCTAATGGATCTCTTTGTTTGTCCGATGTAAGAGAGCCCACAATCACAATCAAGCTTGTAAACTCCTGCATCTTGTAGAGGGATGTGGCACTTGACAGGTGGTAGAAACTGACTAATTTTCTTTGGCGGCTTGAAGTAAGTTTTAATTGAAGCTCGCTTTAGAATGTAGCCAATCTTGTCAGTGACGCCTCTCATGTAAGGTAGGACTGCAGGGACGCGCTCGACTGTGGCTGGTTTCACTCGGTCCCTGTGACGTAGGCGCGGCACTTGCAGCTTGTTGTCTCGCAGAACTTGCTTGACATGTTGCAGTTCTCCGGCCAGGTGTTGCTCGTCACAGATCCCGCGTGCCCTCTGAAACAAAGATTTTCCCACGGTAGCTAACTGTGAAGGGGGGTGGTGAGATTCACCATTCAAGTACCTATCAGTATGGGTCTTCTTTCGATACACAGTATGACTCAAGGTGTTATCTGGGTTACGTATGACTAATACATCTAAGAAAGCTAAAGAATTATTAGACTCCAATTCCATTGTAAATTGTATTTTAGGGTTTATGGAGTTAAGATGTTCTAAGAATACAGATATTTTATCAGATGGTAATATTGTGAAAGTGTCATCTACATACCGCTTGTAGAAACGAGGGGTCACAGGTGATGTGTTTAGGGCGGCCTCCTCGAAGGCCTCCATGAAGATGTCAGCTACAACGGGAGAGATCGGCGAACCCATGACCACTCCATCCACTTGCTTGTAGAATTCATCATTCCACAATAGATAGCCAGATGTAAGGCAGTGTTTCAAAAGTTCAGTGTATTCTTCTTGCATACTATTATCCCGTAGCTTTCTTGATACTATTTTGACACAGTCCTCTACTGGTAGGTTGGTGAATAGAGACTGTACATCAAAACTGACCATAGTTTCATTGTCCATGAGTTGTAGGTATTTTATCTCATTGACAAAATGGTATGAGTCCCTTGTAAACGCTGATGTTTGTCCTCTGAGTGTTGAGAGTACTTTCGCTACTAGTTGGGCCAATTTATAAGTCGGTGTGTCGATTTGACTCACAATTGGACGTAGCGGAGCGTTAGATTTGTGTATCTTTGGAAGTCCATACAGTTTAGGCGGCTTTGCACAAGATGGAACAAGATTTTTGACATCAAGATTCAATGCATCGGAGTGTTTCTTAATAAGCTTTTTAGTATTATTTAACACAGTGGTGGTTGGGTCTGTTTTGACCTTTCTATATGTACTTTCATCCGACAAAAGTTGTTTAATTTTCTCATTGTAATCTGATGTATCCATCACGACGGTGGCATTTCCCTTGTCTGCGCGTAGTATGATAATGTCTGACCTGCTGCGTAAGTTCTTCAACGCTAAATACTGTTGTTTGTTGAGATTAGGTTTGGGCCTTGAGCTACGACGTAACAAAGATGAAACATCTTGACGTATGGCCTCCATATCCTCAGATTTCATAGTATTTTTGGCCAGAGCATCTTCAACTGCACAAATAATATTCTCATAAGGGATGCGTGTCGGCGCAACAGCAAAATTTAAGCCTTTACTTAGTACTTGAATAGTAGATTCGTCCAATGTTTGTTTTGACAGATTGACAACTGTTTGACGTACGCACGAATTTGAAACTGTGGTAGACGGCCCTCTACAAGATGCAGGAGTTTACAAGCTTGATTGTGATTGTGGGCTCTCTTACATCGGACAAACAAAGAGATCCATTAGAACCCGGGTCAAAGAACACATAGCTGATGTGAAGCACCGTCGCAATACAACATCTGCTGTCTGCAAACACAGTCAGGACCGCCCAAGCCATTATATTCGCTTCGATAGGCCTCAAATCCTGGCGAAGGAAAACCGATATCGCCCTAGAATGATTCGAGAAGTCATAGAAATTAAAAAACATCCTAATTTCAATAGGGAAGATGGCTGGGTACTACCATCGTCATGGGATCCTGTTATTAATATAATAAAATCTAATAATAAATCTAAACATAACAGACAGGTAGATGTAGTAAGTTCTTACTGTGTAGATCAAAATGATAGCATTTCTGATTAATAATATTTTTTCACTTTTTCATTTGTAAATGTATGTAGTAATGTGTTGCTTAATAATTTGTTTTTTAAATAATAGCAAATTTAAATTAAAATTATAATTTTTAATTAATCTTAACTTTTTCAAATTACACAGATCAATTGTGGCTTAAATAATTAATACTATATTTTATATTTTTCTTATGGTTATAAATATAATAATGGCAACACTAAATATAGATTACTAATTAATATTTTTAAAATTGTAATAATTATAAAAATAATAGCAAAAATTAAATAAATAATTTTCCATATTCAATTATAATTAAAATTATAAAAATATTTAAAGTTAAAATATTGTAATGTAATTGGTGCAATTTTCATTTTGTTAATTGTGGGTAGGCTGTCTGTAACAACTATATCTTTAAGACATGTAACACCTCAGTCTCTCCCGTGACCATGGATGCTGTAAAGCATTCGAAACGTCGGGAAACAAAAATACAAATAAATCCGCGACAAAATCCGAAAAGATAGTTTTATTTAAAATACAAAATTAAGTTAAAATCGGTTGAGTACTTTTTGCGTGAAACGTGCACATCGATTTGACTAAGTTTTATTATAGGTATAGATAAGAATAAATATTGCGAGTGTAACTTAGGAGATTGACATATCACATACACTATTCAGAACTTTTCTGTAGGACTTTTCAAGACCTACAATTTTTTAGTATATTGTTTTGATGTATGTATGTCTTAAGGCTTAGCCAGCGGAAGGTTTCTAGGGAGGACTCGATAAAACCAGTTATTGTATTTTCCCGCGGGAAAGAAAGATTTTCTTTAAGTAAAAGGTATCTAGGCAGTGGTATCTCAGTGGTAACGCGCTTGCTTGGGAAACCGAGTAAAGCAAGTTCAAATCCCGGGTCTCGCACCTCTGATATTTTCATGTGCGAATCATTTCTAACACAATTACCACTTGTCTTAACGGCGAAGGAAAACCTGCATGTCTGACAGAACCTAGCAAGTTTTCGAAAGACATGTGAAGTCCACCAATCCGCACTTGGCCAGCGTGGTGGACTATGGCCTGATCCACCTCGTACTGGAGGGAGGCCCGTGCCCAGCAGTGGTACGTTAAAAAGGGCTGAATACATACATACATACAAAAGGTACCCTAAATGTTGACTCGAGTAATAAGTTATCACTTCACCAAATTTCGTTGAAATTGGTACATTACTTTTCGCGTGAAACGCGCACACAAAAACAGACAAACAGACATACAGGCAAACAGACAATCAGACAATTTTTTTATTAACTATTGTTTTGGGGTCTATGTTGTGTACATAATACGTAACAAATAAACAAAAACATCTATCCCACGGGAAACGTACATTTTTCCGGGATAAAAAGTTACCTATTTGTTATTCTAATGTATGAACTATATTATTGTAAAGTTTCATCAAAATCCAATCAGTAGTTTTTGTGTACTAAGCTGTATAAGTTACTATAGTTTTTTGACTATCCCACGGAAACTCTTAAATTTTCCGGGATAAAAAGTAGCCGATTTGTTACTGTCATGTATGAGCTATATTCTTGTAAAGTTTTGTTAAAATCCAATCAGTGGTTTTTGTGTATTAAGCTGTATAAGCTGTTATAGTTTTTTAACTATCCCACGGGAACTCTTTAATTTTCCGGGATGAAAAGTATCTAAGGTATCACCCGGGGATATAAGGTACCACCATGCAAAATTTCATTTAAATCAGTCCAATAGATTCGGAGATTAGCCCGTACAAACAGAAAAACAGACAAACAGCTCGCTCGGGTTCGTCCATACCTACGAATGTTGTATTATCTCTTTAACCATTTGTCCAAATTATATGCAGTAAAAGGGAAAAGTCTTTTGTTTTAAACATTTTAGACGATAAATTTACTTATTTTGATAAGAATACATAATTGTTGATAATATGACCAATAAACATGACCTACCTACCGATTTAAATTATCTTTTTAATATAAAAGACTACTTTTTGTGACTTAAATATAAAAGTTAGACATATGCTGTCGCTGACTTTTTTGTAGGCATTATTAAGCTCTACAACTTTACTCTAGAACATAATCATATATCTCTCATCGTTAAGGCAGCGTTCGTAAGAAACGTTTTCGTTCGACCGTTTTTTCTCCGACTTACTTTGCAAATCCGATCACCACGAAAAAGCCTTTTCATTTTTCGGGTTAATATATAGCCTATGACACTCAGAAAGAACGTGACTTTCTATTGGTAAAAGAATTTTGAAAATCGGTTCAGTAGATCCAGAGATTACCCCCTACAACGTCACAAACTCACAAACTCACAAGATCACAAACTTTACCTCTTTATAACATTAGTATAGATTATGAGTAAAAATGTGTCTTACAGTATCCCAGAATAAGCCAGGGCATTTACGATGTATTTCTTCATAATTATCCTTTATATTTGTGGTAAAGCTTTCCAAAGGCATCTTCAAAAAATAATAATGGCAGTCAGTATCATATTTGTTATGTGAAAAATATTATTTACTAGCGACTTAACCTCGCTCGGGTGCGTCCCTGAGCTTGAATGGTTTAGGAACGTATAAAACACACGTTTAAAGTTTTTTTTTGCGCCAGGAACATTCGTAGGCTTATACAGAATAATCCACCAGAGTTTCATCACAATCGGATCAATGTTTAGGAACGCATAGAGGACAAACATACGAACATTCATTATTATTTTTTTAAAAGAATAAGATTTTGATATGAATAGATAAATAGAAGCTCTAAATACAAATATTATCAATTCATTCTTCAGCTAAAACCTATTTCTAAGAATGCACTTAGTTCAAATCGAGCGTTGAAACTTTTGTATTATACCTACACAATACCCATTTCTAAGTTAAATCAATAATTTACATCAATCTATGAATATGTAGCTATTTTTGGTGCAAAAAATTAAAATACGTTTATGTTTTTTACCTCTTCATAGCGTTCTAGCTGAGTGACAATAAAATGTTGGTCATCAACTTTAGTGTCCCTATTGAGTCGATCTACTGTAAAAATAATATTTTTATTGTATTAAATTTATTTCATTACAAATTGGTAAGATTTGGCAGGAGCTTTGACCACGTGTATGGGACGAGAAACGAGGTGCTAATATTTTTTTTGGTTGATTGACCGATTAATCTATATTAGGCTAAATAAAAATACAGTCGAGCATTCCGCCTATTAAATGTATATATTTGAATGTTTTTCGAATAACTTGCATGTCATCATCCATAATACCTTTATGCACTAGTATGTTGAGTTGACAATTCCAGAAATCTTCGCATGACAAACGCGTGTCCGATTTTGTCTTAATCAACTTCAGAATAGGAAGAGATAATCTGGGTGAGGTTTTTTTTTGGTACAACATACTTAAATGTTACGCGACAAGGGCTTTATTTAAATTTCAATCACAGTTTACAAAACGCCTTAGTATATATTACACTCAACGGTCATAACTAGCTTGTCCAGTAAAAAACGGTAAACGCATAGCCACCTACACCTACATACAGCGATAAATTCTCGTATGATATTGGCAATATAAGGTCGTAAGTTTAGGAACAATTATTAAAAGGTAATATTATTTATTAAATACTATTTGACCTACTACAGTTTGTTCGGCTGCGTACCCGGTACCTAGATACCTAAAGCATAAATAATAGCCTTTAACTTTCTAAATAATCGTTCTATATCTGGTATTCTTTATCTGGTGAAAACCTTTTGAAAATCCATACTGTTGTTTGTGAAATTAGCTCAAACAAATACAAACTGCGCGTTAAGCGGATTTTTATATGTCATAGGATGATTATTATGAAAACACGGATAAAGATAATGGTGAACATATTTCTCAATCTTACTGGATAAAGATACGGTTTGTGCAAAAACACGAGTCTCTCTAGTTTTAGTCGTTTTCTAAGGGTTCTTCCGAGTAAGACGTAGCTGCCGCCTTTAGTCTTTTCAAGTCTCAACCTACATCTATACATATGATAAAATTGTAACGAAGCCGATGCTGTAGGTACATTAAATATTTTTTGGAAAATGTTATTGAAATAAACCTTATCGATACAGAGGCCGAATCTATAGTTTTTAGAATTTTTGTCTGTCTGTCTGCCTGTTACAGCATCACAGAAAAACCATTGGAGGGATTTTGATAAAGTATGGTGAAAGCTGGTTTTCCGGGTCAACTAATATGATATATTTTACCGCTGGAAAATGTCTCATTTCTGAGAAAAAATACAAAAACTGCAATGTAAGTATACTAATATGTAAAACCTAAGAATTTAGTTTTTGGTCATCTGAACGCGGGCGGAGCCGCGGGCAATGCTAGTTATTTATATATAGGCTTCTAATAGAGATTAGAGAGATCTATTAGTAAAAAATTGAGAAATGTTTTCACCATTGTCTAAATTTAATCCGTGTTTTCACAATATGGTCTTCGCGAAAATTCGAATTATCCAATCATCCTACTATATAATATACATACAATATAGTAATGATATGGCCAACGTGGCTTGAGCCGTGTGGTGGTCGTGGTCACTGTAGCGGTAGTCTTACGTCGGTGGTGATGAATATTTCTTTTAACCTTATATAAATAGTTTTTCTTGTATCTAAGGAATTTTCTACTTAAAAGGTTTTCTACTAAAAATATTTATAAGCATGAATATTATTATACAACGTACAGTTTTGCACGTTTGTGTCGGTAGTTTGCACCAGACCATTTTCTAATAGGAACGCTAACCACAGGTCAGAGTCCTGTGGTTTGATACCATCTGCGTGCGGCCACGGCACCTTCGTGCTAATTGATTTCATTAATAAGTTCTCCACTGGAATCAAATTCATTCAGTTTATTTTCACGATGTATATTATCGATATGAATCGATATGATATGATATGAATCGATAGTACCGATTATAATCTAGTAATTTTAATTAGTAGAAATAATAAATACATAGTATCTAGTAAAAAATGTTTTGCCCATTGCATATTTTGTAGCTTAGAAGTTCTTTTAGTGTTCATTATCACATTCAGTTCATCATCTCTTATTCACTTCACACCATACAAAAATTTTAAGCTGCAAGCGTTTTTTATTTATAAGCGCAATTTTATTGTTCATACAAAATTTGTAACAGTAACCATAGCAAAGCATCATGAAAAAGAGTAAGTGCAATAAAATGTACTTAATAAGTTTATGTGTTGAAACTTAATGAAATATTTTTAGATTTTGCATGTCTTTCGATATTTTGATATAGGTAAATAAAAAAAATGTTGTTATATTACTATGTATTAAATTATAATAAATTAACTTACTTGCTTTGTCTGGTTGTGGATCTATCATCAATCCGGAAGGGTCGATGGTTTTAGTGTTTTGATCCTCCGAAGTGTTTTCAGGAGAAGTAAATGTAACAGATTTAGAGGATTTTCTGCTGCCTGCGAAACCTTTAAAAAGTAAAAAAAAAATCAAGTAACAGCTTGAAAATATATAACATGAGCATTAGTAAGTACTAGTAATATACGCTACTTATATAAGTTAACAATGTTTCTCACGACTTTAACGCAAATATATATATATATATATATATATATATATATATATATATATATATATATATATATATATATTAATACTAAAGTCCACAAGTTAAAATTATAGATTTCGGGGACGGTTATATTATATAACTTCTATTATATATTGAATTTAGTAGGTATTATCACTAAATACAATGTCCATATTAATTTTCGGTACCTTTCCATGTCGAAGACGTATATTTAAAATCAATGCTTTTTTGTTTTGGAGTATTTATATCTTGTTTGTTTTGGACGGTTTGAAAATGGGTAGGTCTGAAAATCGTACTACATATTATTATTTTTAATGTGTTAGTGATTATTTAAACCAATAATAATGAAAGTGAAGTAATATTCTTTGAAAAGATGATAAATTAAAAAAAAAACTGCTTTTACATCTGGTGGTCTTAATTTGTATATTTTTTAAATTATGGCTATATTTTAAATTTTCGATGGTTAAAGTCTTCATTGAAAGCCTGTATTTAACATGTTTAATTTTAGTAGTCCAGTCACATAAAATACTTAATTTGTTTTCAGAGGCAATTACAACGTACTAATATTGGATGAATTTTAACGTTGAAATCGGTATTATATTGAAAGCCATTTTCAACATTCAATTTATACAATAGTTGTTGGTCAACCAAAATCACACCTAAAATTAAAACTAACTAATATTGCGAACATGTTTACAAATTCTAAATAATAATAATAATAATTTAAGTTATATTTTAATATTTAAATTTTATCTATAGGTACATACAGATAAATCAAATTTAAATGTCTGTTTGTAATGTCAAAATAACAGCTTTTACTAAATGCGTATGGATGTATACACGGTACATATACCAAAACAATATTTTTTATAATTTTTGTCTGTCTGTTTATTCCGGCTAATCTCTGAAATGGCTGGACAGATTTTGACGGCACTTTCACTGGCAGATAACTGATGTAATAAGGAGTAACTTAGGCTACTTTTATTTTAGACAAAAAATAGAGTCCTACGAAAAAATTTAAAACCAATGAAAAATTTAATAATATCCGATTCAAATAGGGAAGTTGTATATATACCCTAGGGACGAACCCGAACGAAGCGAGGGTAAGTCGATAGTAAGTATAAAATAAAATTGGACTTTGATATGACTTATTACTTTTATATACTATTGATTTATTGATTAGTTACTCAGAAAACTTATTATTTTAGAGTACCTCTTATACTGGCCTTTATCTTGATTAGATGTTAATCCATAAACATCGCTAACGTATTCATCCATATTTGGAGGTTCTTTGTAAAGTGAGAAAAGGCTGGAGTCTACGCCGCTGTATTTATCGCTTTCCTTATTGGTTACGAGAGATACGGAACTCTGTGAACATAATTTCTCATGTCATAATATAATATGGAACGTCCATATATTATTGGTTAAAGATATCTTATCTTTAGTATTATATTTTTAGTAATAAGTTATACGAAAGTATACACTGCAGCATATATATATATATATATATCACATAATTTACCTTAGAAACGGCTATAAAGGCAAAATCTATCACAGATACATATATGTACATTGTACCTATAACAAGAATGACGACTTTATATAGGTGGTAGTCACCAAAGGCGTGTTTATTGAAAAAAATACGTACAGAAACCGCCATTGCAATTCTATCTAAGCCTTTGACGCTCTTTTTCTTTCCATCGTCACTATCCATCAATAGAGAGCATTGTGAGTCCAGTACAAACTCGCAGTGCTCTGTACCGTCGGGTATAGTCTTGAAAATAAAAAAAATAATTACAATGCAGTTTCCTTTCACCGAGACAGTGGTGCATGTACGAGATGGAACTGTCCATATCGTTGGTTACGGGTTATATTCCCGAAGTAATGATTTATGTATAAGGCATTTAGTTATGTGACCTTGGCCGATAGGAATGTGTTTTAAAAAACAATAAAACTCACTGACGATTATAAAAGTACTGAATATAGGAATATAAGCAAGGAATATCTCGAAGTTTTATTAGGGATCCTACAAATGAAAGTATTAATAATTATTTATTATACCGGTATGCGGCTTTATCTATTTAAGATATAATGAACGCGTTTGATTATTAGATATCAACTGAACAATATGCCTTCCAACTTATATTTTGTATCGGCCAATATCGATTAATCGAAATGATGTAGTTTCTTAGGAACTCGATTTCGAATAAATATACAATACATGTCCGGATGATAAGCATCGTAAGCCAAAGCTGAATTTTACTCAGTGTCTTACACAAAACATATATGTATACGCAATATGTGTAATAATATGCAATTTTCCGTCGATTCCAAATATCATTGTGCTGCTTAGCTGGGTTAGTTACTGAAGGCAGTAGATAGAGCAAAGTGATAAATTGTCTTAATATAGGTAAATGAGAATTGAAGACCGGGACGTAGAGTAATTAAATCCTCTCTATTTATCTCGCAAGAGAAACAATGTGAAGCTATAAATAAAAATAATTACAGGCTTTAATCAACAATTTAAAGATATTTTGTCACAATAGATGCAGTCACCTGTATAATCTCATTAAGAATGCCGTTTATAATTATCCGTCCAGACAGTAACACCTGCAAAGTCGATATTTCCATGGGCATATTCATAGATTGTTTCTTTTGATAGGCAATATTTCTGGCTCTGTATATAAAATTTATTTTAGTACTCATAAACGGTAACGTCCGGTAACGGTAAACGGTAAAGATTTAAGCATACCATGATATATGTAAGGTAAGGTTTATTATGTAATATCTTTTGTTACTATACATTTATATATGTATTTAATATATATTTTATATAAGTATATCCCGTACTTGAGAAAATATTGATTCCCTATACAAAGTTCCACCCCCCTTTTCACCCCATTAAGGGATGATTTCCGGGGTAAAAACTATCCTATGTCCATTCCAGGGTCTCAAACTATGTCTATACCGTCTAAATCGGTTCAGCGGATTAGGCGTGAAAAGGTAAGAGACAGACAGACTGACAGAGTTACTTTCGCATTTATATATCAGCAAGTATGGATTATGAAATTATTTTAGTTTGGTAAAATTATTGATTAATAAATAATTACAGGCATAAATTTAATTTTAACTCGCTGACTAACCCTCGTCCTTAGTGAAAAAGAAAAACATCTATCACAGGGGAACCTACATTTTTCCGGATAAAGCATATGTGCTTCTAGACTATAATCTATCTCTATGCGAAATTTCATCCAGATTCGTTCAGCCGTTCTCACGTGAAAGAGTAACAAATCTTCACAAACTTTCACACTTATAATATTAGTAGGTTTATAAATATTAGTAGGTAGGAATTATAAATCCATTAGTCACTTATAATTTCATGTTACATGTTTTCACATAGTTATATAGCATATAGACCAAAAATATACAAGTATATCTTTATGTATTCATGTATATCGTAAATATATTTAATATATCATAAATGTTATTTTACGTTACAAAATATTTACAAATTTATCGGCAAAGAACAAAGGTAAGGTAATATAATAATTTCTTACTCTTTTCTTTCTTGTTGTCTATGAGCAAGGCCCCGCTTATCCAAACAAGACGCCAATATCAAATATGGCCGATACCCTCGTAATTTTAACATGAGAGCCCCGATTAAATCCGTTGTAACGATTTTCACTTTACCATCTTTTACAAACGCTTCTTCTCGACCTTAAAATAATATGATTATATAAGTTATTTATATTTTAAGGACGCGTATTAGCGATTTTTGGGGTGAATTTTTATACCTATTATAGTTTTATTATTTCGCAATCACATAAAAACTTTTAAAAAAAATATAAAAACTGACTTCCAGGCACCATATTAATTTTTATTTGTCCATTTTTAGTGTAGACGTAATAAGCAGGTAATTTGTTAGAAGAAAGGTTTTATAACATGTTCGATTAAGCAATTTATTTTAAAAAAATAATTTATTTGTTGATTTAAAAAAAAACCACTTGACTGATTTCGATAAAATTTATATGGGACCACCTGGGAAGTATACCCTTTGACACAAAAAAAATCCAAATTGGTTCAGGCGTCTTCGAGTAATCGGTGAACATACATAAAAAAAAGATTCCGACGAATTGAGAACCTCCTCTTTTTTGGAAGTCGACTAAAAATGAGTGACAACAACATTATCTGGTACAACACTAAGGTTTTTTTAATATGCTAATATCATAATCTCCGGCCTAAATGTTTAATGTTTATGCAAAATATTACATCGATACTTAACTCGGTTGGGGCGGTAAGCAAATCAAGGAACACAATTTACATATTACTATGATTTATATAGGAGTTAGCATTTTTAAGTATTTTTTAACTAAATAAGATTTTTCCAATGTGTTTTGGTCGATGTGCCTTTAATGTAAAATGTATATTAATTTATTCGAAACATATTGTTCTATTGTAATAGCTGCACTAAATTAAAATTTTGCTTTGCCAATAGTTAAATAAGTCTAACAACGGCACAGGTGCCGATGGACCTGGAGAAAAAATTAATACGTTGCCGCTTTTATAAATATGTATTAATCAGGAAAGTACATATACCTATATTTTTATATTTTAAACAAAACTATCTTTTCGGATTTTCTCTGAGAGACATGGTCTGTCTCTTCCGTGACCATGATTGCTCCAAGAGTATATACCATTTGAAACGTCGGGAACCAAAAAACAAATCAAAATAAATCCGAAAAGATAGTTTTATTTAAAATATCAAATATTCGCGTAAATCTAAGAAAGTATTATTTTTCATATTTTTCGAGGAACCAATATCTACATACATAACTATTACTTTTTAATCAGAATGTTAGTAATAATTTAAGTTACTTAGCCCATAAGATTCGCCGTTCATTTCGCTATAAGTGAGAAGGTCGCCGTTTAATAGCATATCGTCAAACTGCTTTCTCGATATAACTTTGTAGTGGCCTGGTAAGTGATGGAAAGCCGTAGTATGCTGCAATGCTAATTCTATGTTTGAGCATTCCAATGCAAGGCGTCGGGATAACGTTCCTGCATGATTAAAATAAGTATTATCTTACAAAAATATTTAATTTTCTATTATATAGCATATTATATATGTTCATAATAAAATAAACTTTAATAATATAATCAAGAACATACATAATTTTACGTTTATTATACATAATCAATTTTCTATCTAAACACTAATAGAGATTTATCAGAATGTTAAATTTTACTAAATTAAGTGCATGACTTGTTGTGTACTAAGTTGTATAAGTTATTATAGTTTTTTCACAGACAGAGAAACAAAAAATTTGAATTTTTTTAATACCTTTTGTTTTGTGGTCTATGTTGTGTACATAATACGTTACAAATAAACAAAAACATCTATCCCACGGGAACCGTGCATATTTCCGGGATAAAATGTAACCTATTTGTTATTCTGTTATATGAACTATATTATTGTAAAGTTTCATCAAAATCCAATCAGTAGTTTTTGTGTACTAAGCTGTATAAGTTACTATAGTTTTTTGACTATCCCACGGGAACTTTTTAATTTTCCAGGATAAAAAGTATCTAAGATGTTGCCCGGGGATATAAGGTACCACCATGCAAGATTTCATTTAAATCGTTTCAATAGATTCGGAGATTAGCCCGTACAAACAGACAGAGAAACAAAAAAATTGAAATAATCTGGATATGTTCTATTTGTCTTCTTACATCCCTGGCTCTGACTCGGTTTTTAGCATTTTTTGCTATGTACAGACATTCGACCTCTACTGTTTTATTATAGTATAGATTGGTAAACAGTGAATGTAAATAAAAGTGTAAATATTCAATGCTAGTGACTAGTTTGATATGAGGACCGACGGCTTTACGTGCTCTCCGAGGCACGGGGGTGAAACACCGCCAACTTCCCAACTCTGGGCTGTTACTGAGGCTTACTATACAGAAAGACTCAATAACTAAACTTGGCCCGACCCGGGAACTCAGGACTTCCGGGTGTGCAGCCGTACATGCTAGCCACTACACCACCGAGGCAGTTAATAATAATCAAATTTATATATATATATATATATATATATATATATATATATATATATATATATATATATATATATATATATATATATATATATATATATAAATAATATAAATTTGATTTGAATATAAAATTTAGGAATTAAGTAAATATGTAATAGTTAGTTCTAATTTATAAAGTCTCTTTAATAAGATAGATTAACAGGCACATAGTTTAGCTTTTGTAAATGTAACACAACTGGTTTTAGGCAAATTTCGGCGTTCAGCCAAATAACAATAGAAACTGGACTTTTTATGAATAGAATTGCTCGAGTTCCAATGTTATGGCGTGCTGCTAATGGCTCTTGGCTCTGGAAGCCATCTTGTTCTCTAAATTATGGGCGATTTTGTACCCACACATAATGGCGAAGTGGTTTGTAACGAGAGGTTTTATTGAATAGTATTGTAGATGTGCCTAATGTAGTATTGCACAAGGTTAAAACTGTTCGTAAGAACTTATATTTATTGTTATATTGTGCAATTTTATATTAATTAGAGTAGGTACCCACAAGGTTAAAAAATATATTTCTACGGAAGTTACATTGTCAAATTTATATATATATATAAAATGTAAGTTTGCAATGTAGAGAAAGACAATTAAAATAATGCAATCATTGCGAATTTAATACGTTAGCCGATAATAAAAGAAATTTACTGTTATTCTTACTTCGTTCTATTTCAATGTGAAACGAAAGAAACTTAAAATAACTGTTTTACAAGTTGCCCAAATATCAACGTTCTCTAACTTCTAACTTAACCTTTATAATCTAGCGTCTTAGGGGAACTTTTACTGAAGCTACTGCTTAGTAAAGAGTAGCTTATATCATTTTCCGGCCGGAAGCAGTAAGGATTACAACACTCGAAGGAACGGTCAATATCCGGTAAGCATCAAATAATAAAAACTTTTATTTTATTTATAAAGAGTTAGAGCTAGAAAATAAATTAAACTGAATATTTCAAAATGACATATTAAGAGTAATACCTAAATACCTAAAATTGAATAAAACAAAATAACACTTTCAGCAACTTCACAGGCAAACCATACTAATATTCAAATTATTGATGTTTTCTTATTTTAAGCATTAAATTATTATTACATTTTTTTTAATGACACGTTTGGCTCATTTTGTAGTGTACCCTAGTTGTACCTTACTTGCTGTGCCAGCGGTCGCGGGTTCGAGTTCCGCTGGGGGCATTTATTTGTGTGATCAGCATGAATGTTTGTACCCAGTCATGGGTGTTTATATTTATAACATGTATGTATTTAAAGTTCATTCATACATATTCATAAAGTATCAACTATCTAGTATCTATAACACAGGCCTCGTAACTTACTATGGAACTAGATGGTGCTGTGTTAATATCCCAACATATTTATTTATTTTTTTACTGGACGTCACCACTAATTCGGACAAAGCCTTATCAGTCGTGAGAAGAACTGAAGAAGGAAACTCAGCGGGACTAAAAATATTTTTTTCTTTTTTTATAAGTAAAATTATAAAGTACAATAATTCTACAACGTCGATTTTTTTGATTGATAGCCTGGAGGCGATCGCATCATTCCCAAGGTGTGCCATCTTCTATAAAAATATCTTTTGTTCGAATATAACCTTTACCAACCAAACGTAGCATTCTTTTTAACTAGTAATCAAGCTTTTTGAATGATTTCTGGGATCCTGAGAAACGAATCACAGGCTTTATATAAGTTTGTGTTTGCTCCTTGTAACAATGTTAGGTACGGTTCTTGGGAAATTCATGAATATTATTATTACCAACATACCTAATAGTCTCGTACACGTATTGAGAAGTATTAAGTAACCGTCAATATTTTTCAAATATAACAAAGCGTAAATATATTATTATTATTATTATTAATGTTGGGTGTGGTGCCGAGGTCGGCCCTAGCTACGTCGACCAGTTTTGGTCCATTGTAGCTCCCTTTATAGTGAGTTCAAAGTTCTCCGCTTAGTCCTGTTGACTCCAGGAACTTCCAGATTTTCTGAGCGGGGAGCATCTGTATCTCTTCCGGTTGCATAATATGCTTCCCTAGATAGATACTTCTGCGGTGCATGAGTGGACCGCGCGAGCAGAGGATGTGCATAGCAGTTTCCTCTGTCTCATGGCATAGTCTGCACATTGCGGTCTGACTGAGGCCGAGGGTAAACATATGTTTATTGAGTTTGCAGTGACCAGTAAGTATTCTGGTTACTGCACTGGTTTTATACTTGTTGAGTTGAAGCAACTCTTTTGTAAACTTTTTGCGATATCCCTTAATTAGCGCTTTAGAGTGTATTTGTCCAGAAGTGGATTGCCACTCTTGAAGTGCTTGGCGATTGCAGTGAATTTTGAGAATTGAATAGGCATGTTGTTTTGCAATGCCACAGAATGGTTCTGGGCCACAATCTGGGGTTTCAGCGCCCCTTCTTGCCAATGCATCAGCCTTTTCATTCCCATCTATGCCTGAGTGACCCGGGACCCATCTGAGGGTAACTCTGTTGGATGTGCCCAGGACATTCAGATTATCCATACAGTCTTTGACCAAAGCGTAAATATATATCTTTATTGCTAATTTCTTATTGCCTACAATATATGCATACTAATATTATAAATGTAAAAGTGTGTTTGTTTGTTTGTTTAATTGTTTGTTTGTTTGTTTGTTTGTTTGTTTGTTTGTTTGTTTGTTTGTTTATTTATTTGTCCTTCTTTCAGATCGAAACGTAATGACGGAGAGGTGTGATTTTTGTGCGAAAATAATTGGAGGGCTGGAGAGTGACATATGCTACTTTTTACCGCGGAAGATTATCTCATTTCTACGGGTAACACGTTATAATACAACCCAAAAATATTTGTGATCAGAATTACTCGAATCTTGTTAATAATATTATTCAATACAATTAAATAAATACGTTTTTAGGATTTTTCAAAATTCATACCATTAGGGGGTAAAATAGAGAATGAAAGTTTGTATGAAACCTACGTCTTTAAAGATGTTTTTTGAAGATTTAGCGCGAGCGAATCCGCGAGTTCTGATAGTTACTTATAATACCTGAACTTGTAATTTTAGTAGCTAGACTTTTCTGATGACTAAAATATTTTTAAGAAACATAATCTTTGACTGATTTTATTAAATTTTTAATATATATGCATTATGTATAACGTGTAATGATTAGTTAACCAAATAATTGCTATTATGTAAAGACGTACCTTTTCCAACGGCTTCATAACCAACGATAACAACTATAGGAATATCAGTAGTATCGGCAGGAGGTGTGTAGGGAGAGACGCGAGACCTTGACAATTGTTGAATGTAGAGTAGACGCAAAAGACGATGGGTTGCAAATGTGCTTACATCCGGTGTCATGCACATTTTTGAGGTTCTCTTAAAAGTTTAATTTATTATAAATTAATTTATTTAATTTATTACAATTTATTAATAATCAAAAGGTAGCAGATATTTTGATTGCTTAGTGGAAATTTTACCTTAGAGCTTTTCTTTACATATTTTATAACTTTTGAGAATAATATTTTATAAAGTTAATAAATACATCATAAATGATATGAAATATTATTATTTTCCCTAAAAAACCTAGTAATCTATTAATATTCTAATACCTTGGATAAATGTCAATAATTTTTAATAATTTTAGTACAAGTTATAAGGAAAATATATTAAAGAGCGGTGTTCTTGTTCAAAGTGTCAATGTTAAAGTTAGTTCTAGGATATTAAATGGCGTCTCCTATATTGGAATATTTAACATGCTCGATGACCTAGTTAAAGTATACACATGGAAATTATATTCGGCACCTTTACTTTGGAAATTACATATAAAGTATTGAATATCCAATATTATTGCAATAACTTGTACGCTCACAAAAAATGTTACGGGAAGCTCAGATAATACGTAGCAATATAAAAGCTGTTTTTTTATTATGTGCGTTTGTAAGGAATTTTATTTTAGTTAAAATAATATTTAAATAGGAAACTTCAAATAACCAATTCTTCACTATATTAATATCAATATCAATATTATGTTTTTTACCTGTTCAACTGGATCTACTTCTTTAGCATCTAAGTGTATCAGTAAAGGGAATATGTTAAACACCACGTCCTTATAACCGGTGATGGTGCAAACGGGGTTAGAGCGTAAGTCGAGAAGATTCAGGCGTCTCATGTTCCGCATGTACACCGCCAATTCTAATAATGTGCTGAAGCTGTTGTTTCGTGCGTGAAGTTCTCGCAATCTATGTTTAATTGGTATTGAGGTTACTTTATGTTATACTAGCAACTCACTTGCTTCAGCGTGTTTTCTTCACAATTTTATGAGTTTATAATTTTTGTTTAGAATCCTAATTCTTTTTCTAAAGTAAAAGTAGCCTAAGTTATTCCTTATAACATCAGCTATCTTCCAGTGAAAGTTCTGTCAAAATCAGTCCAGCGGTTTCGGAGATTATTCAGAACAGAGAGAAACAAAAATTTTACAATTTAAGTAACCTAATACCTACTTTTATATCCATTTAGCAAAAAGCTGTTATTTGATATTACAGTCAGACACTTCAATTTTTTTTGTTTGTATAGATTAGAAGTTAAAGCTGTCTTAAGTAGGTAAATGTTAATTTAATACTAGAAGGGTCATTAATTAAATCGGACTAACTATAAATGTGTAAGTTTGTGTGTTGTTATTTCTTCACGCTGAAACGACTGGATGGAATTGGATAAAATTTTGTACATAGGTATACTTTGACTTGTAACACATAGACTATTGTTAGATACCTAGGGAGGCATCCGAACGAAGCAATATAATTAATTATTATAGTAATCAGAAGAGCGAAATGGTATCTAATATTGTTTTAGCAAATTTTTAAACATATAAAATGAACAAACATCATAGAAGTGAACTTAATAAAGGAAAATAAATATGAACTTATAGCGTATATAGTATATGAAAAAAGCGATGTTATGGATTTAACATATTCTATTGAATCCTGTCAACTTGACAAAAACAATGCGAAATGCATTGTTTAATGCAATGTGGGTTAAAATAAAATATTGGTCGAATATATTCGTGTTCAATAAATATTATTGAGTGGAAAATATGTGATCTTTAAAAGATGACGCTTTTGTGTCAAAATAAACTTACCCTACACATATAAAATATATCTATAGCTACATATTATTATTAAATAGCTTTTTTCTGATAAAAATTGCTTATTCAAACCTTGTACATCCCGCAAATATTTTCATAGATGTAAGATTATTTTCATTCAAATTTAAATATTCCAGATGCAATAGCGTCCACAGTCCGACATCTGGCCCAAACTCATAGCTGGATATGTTGTTATAAGATACGTTTAACCACAAGAGACGCATATGATTAAGGCTGGCCAGGCGCTGAATATGATTAAAAGAAAGATCGAGTTTCCGCAAATATCTATAAGGAAAGGCAAATGTGAAATAATATTAAAGAATTACGTGTTTTGAAATAACGACAATTATTCTATAAAATATTTTTTTTTTGTTTTAGGACTCAACGGCCTGATATTGTGCATTTAACTTCTAAAGGCTACAAAAATATCATTAGACACTTTTTACTTTTCTTAAACTCCTTGGTTTATTATTTATTGTCTAATTTAGGTTAAATATTTTGTGAATCATTTGTATTTGTACTTTTAGGGTTCCGTAGCCAAAAGGCTAAAACAGAACCCTTATAATTTCATATATCCGTCTGTCCGTATGTCACAGGAATTTTATTTATGAGTGTTTTTCAAATAAAAATAAAATAAAAATATGTTAATATTTCGTTAGCTCTAGCATTCCTTATGCTCTATAGGTGATTGATAAATGAAATAATTAAAGAAAATATTTTCTACCTTAAATTTTGTAAACCGCTTATCTTTTTTATATTGTTATGTGATAAATCCAATACCGTGATTGACCAAAAATCGCTTATGTCTCGAATGCTCATTACAGCATTGTATTTGTAATGAACTTCTGTTAAATACCACTGCGCTGTAAAATGACAAATTGAAGTGAATTTTGATGATCTGTTTAAGGGCTGATTCTAGTAATCATCTATACATATTATATATTATAAAATAAAGTTCTCCGCTGCGTCTGTTTGTCTGTCTGTCTGAGCGCGATAAGCTCAAAAAATAATGAACGGATTTTCATATGGTTTTCACCAATAGATGGAGTGATTCATTAGGAAGGTGTAGGTGTATAATTTATTAAGGTTTTGTGTAAATTGGCTGAAATATGACGATGATTGTTGAAGACTTCGAAAAAAAAACAAACCGACTGGGAATGTTATTGGCGTACACCGCGTAAACTAATAAAATTATATGAAAACAATGTATTTTTATAAATAGTATGATTTATTTCTCTTCAAAAGATCTTTCTATTAAACTGCAGAACGCTATGTGTATTCACTCTTAATTCATACACAGCTCGACTTTAAAAAAGAGGAACTGAGAGTATGTTATATGCCATGGCATCTCCGCCGATTGAGAACCGATTTTCACTTACGGTTACAGGTTATACTTTAGGGTAGGTATGTAGGTGTTCCCGTAAACAATTCAGGTAAAATATACAGTTAATGACGGATTTTTAGAGCTGCTTTATATCTGTTAAGTTAAAAATAATTATTGTGTCAAATATAAAAAAAATATAATTTAAAAGTATTTAATATATTAAAAGGCTTACGTGTTTCATAATCTAAAACAGCTCTTAATCTATTAGAATCCACGGATAAATATTGCAAATATAAGAGCTTGGAGAGTACCTTCAGATCGGTTAATAAATTTGATGAAAGATCAAGATATACTAAATATTTGTAATGTTGCAGTACTTGAATATCAATTAGGTACTGAAATAAAATATAACATTAGTTAAAAGTTTTTCAAATAATTTAATGTGAAACTAATGTTTATATATTGTTTATACTTTAACAAATTTTCTTACTTTAGACGACAGATTTAACTTTATGTACACGTAGTCTCCCAAAATTGGTGTTCGTTTCAAATAGCTCAAACAGGCAGTGACCATGTCTCGTGTAAGAACCCCCTCCTTAATCTCCGGAACATCCTCAATATTTCTTATACGAACGACTGGCGAATAAACATCATCATACAGTTCCGGAAAGTTGTAAAAACAACCCCATAATTGTTCTTCGTTTAACAGATGTGTTACATTTGCGGAAAACTGAAACATAGAAATACTTCAAAGATTTTTTATACATATTTACGTATATTTTACACATAAATATTATTATGTATTAAATAATGTATAGTACTAGCGACTCACCCTCGCTGGGCTCGGGTTCGTCCCTAGGGAAAACTTAGGTTTGTAATTTGTACGTATTTTTTAATGCCGAATCATATAGTGAACTCAAAAAAGTGTCTTATTCTAATGACTGAGGATCTGGACGTGACCAAAAGTCATGAGCGATTTTAGAAAATGTAAAAAAAATGATCTTGAAATATTCGAGCGCTTCAGATTTTTATACAGACGGTTCAAATGATAGTCGTCCTAAACGATAATCTGACAATTATATGGAAGGATATTGTTATTTTGAAGTATTAGTTACAATATTATAATATTGCCAGACGGTACTAACCATAGATATAATACTTGTATTATTATATCTATGGTACTAACCCATCTTTAAAAACGAACACGTTATTGTGATCAGCTGAGATGGCAGCATGGCGGCTGACGGTGCGAGAGAGTGAGAGACAGAGAAAGAGTACGTAGGAAAGTGAGAAATACACAGTTCTCAACCTCTGTACGCTTTATCCTTTATTGATGGTTTTAGCTACATCACCCCATGAAAAAATTAAAAAAAATCAATCGCGATCCAGTATTTCGAAGTGACTTAACTTACCTTGTCTTAATCTGATGGGCTCAATTTTTTCTGAGGATCGATTTTTTTTTACTAATCTGACGGGCTGCCCTCAACGTACCCCCCCTATATTAAGAATTCATATATGGTAGAGGTACATTACAGGGTGCAAGCTTTCTCCCATATGATGTTCTGACGCGCTAGAGTTAACGCACAAAATCCCCTCCTGGGTTCCCCTATTATGTCTTTTGAGCTAGTCAGAATTTTCAAAGAGAAATATTTCTAGATTACATTTATTGAAGTAAGTTTATGATCCCGTTATTTTACGACAACCAGCCATATGACATGAAAATAAATGTCTAAACAAAGGTCACGTGTCTTATATTAATGGGCAACATTAACAAGAGGCGTAATCCCAGTTGAGAAAGGTTTTGCTCCTGGGTACTTAAAGAAAGTAAAGTATAATGCCTTAAAATTGCTTTGTTTAGAAGATTCTGTTTCAACGTTTATTATTATTATTTATAAATAAAAAAAAAGCACATACACACAGGCTTATAATATTTAAAAAAATATTCTTTTATATAGGTATTGATTGTATTTAGCATTATTAGCTAAAAATGTTGCCGTGATCAATATATTTTACCAATACACGTTATAACGCCCATGCATGTACATAAATATTAAAAAGGATTTCAGAACAATGTTTGTTTATCCATTTTATCTCCCATAGCTAATACCTTTTTGTAGGTGCTTTATAAACCATAATGTAAACTATAAAAGAAACGATTTTACCACTTACCTGCTTTGATACGATACTATCTTTATGCTTATTTTCCATCATATTGTTATCATTTGTGAAACTTACAAATCTTGGCAAAAGGCTTATGCTTCGAAAGTGTTGTTCTTAAAAGTATATACATATTATGTAACGTTAATATACGAAAGAAATTTATTGAAGGAAAAATATTAGCAAATCTCGTTTGTTAAGGGTATTTACGAAAAATGTTAAAAATTTAACATTCAAATTATAAAAAAAGTAGAAAAACAATTATTATAAAGTCATACAAACTATATTAATAGGAAGAATTTAATATTATATGCCAAATTATATTTATTTATTATACTATAGGGACTGATCGAGTTTCTTTCTAGAGTTTACCACAAGTCGGAAATAAAAGCTCTCTGTCCTGAGAAGAATTGGCGAAAGAATATCAGAGGGGCTAAAAATATTTTTTATTGTTTTTTTGCCTCATATTAGATTTTATTTATCTTCAAAATTATCGTAAATCATATATGTAGATATCAAGATCGAAATAATCCTAATTAGCTTTACAAAAAACATACTTTTTAAAGTTAGGTTATTATGGTCATTCTACTTAGATGATAGGATTTCTCAAGATATTTATAATTGAACAGTAGATAGCTACATAAATTGGAAGTATCCCATATTGTGAACGCCAACCGTAATTATTGTCAATAGAGCAAGTTATGTTAGTACATAATGTATGTTAGTACATAATTTGTACTAGTGTACAAATATACCTAAAACTGAGCGATATATCGATTTTTTAATTATGAATCAATTTATCGAAACTCATCGTTAAATGGCGACGCCATGGGACTTTTAAGTCTTAATTAAATTGTAATGAATTCACATTAATAGAACAAACTAAATGATTATGAAAAAGATACCTTCAGGCAAATCTTCCAAAGAAAGTGAAGATAAATAATTAATTTTAGAGACCTCGGTCCATGTCGGCAGGAAACTATCAAATCGTAAAAGCCTGAAAGTGCCTGTTGATAATCGCACAGATTTCCTCCTTTTATAAATTGGAGAAGATGGCGAAGGTCTCACATTCAAATTTTTATTTTCGGCTTCTTCCTTGTTTTCAGCCTCATTGATCATATTCAAAATAGATTTATTTATATTATTTTTTTAGATGAATGATGATGAATAATTGTCATACGAAAAATTCACAAAATGTTATAAGTGACGTCTTAAAATATGTTCCTTTATAACAATATAGATACTTTTTTCACATGCCACTTGAGTTTAATTGGTAACGACATTCATAAAGCTTGTTAAAGTTGTTCTTTTGTCTCTTGAGAAAACCGTAAAATAGAGGATTTAGCTGCGAGTACTTCTACTGCTATTTACAAAGAACAAATCTGATTTTTTTCAAATGTAAATCCATACTTTGAGTTGAATAATGTTAAATTATTCTATGTACAAAAATAGCCATTAGGAACATTCAACAAGACTCCCAAGCTGAAGCCCATTTTATGTTAAAGAGGTTCTACTTTGAATTAATATAGCGTAACTTGAAGGAATTACTGAAAAAAATTATACTACGATGGATAAAAAATTATGAAGTCATCATTGCATTTTCTTGAAATGAAGAAGTACTTATAAGTACATATAATCATTAATCAGCATATTTTTTTAAGTACTGTGAAAACGTCCAATGATTTTCAAATTCAATCAAATTTCATTAAGTATACAATTAAAATAGCCGACTGCGTTAACTAAAAAGATAAATTCATATTGAGTAAGGAACATACCTAGTATGATGGCCTCATCAGGAATAAAGAAAAATAAGTTTAAATAAACTCTTCGAAGTCAATTAAAAACTATCTATTTGACATGAAGTTTTAACCGATTCTCAAAGTCTTTTAGGTTCAAAGTACACTAACGTAAATGTATAAGTGTTCAATATTAAAAAAAATCCTCTTTACAAAGTTTAAAATGAAGTCGCTTCCTCTGTCAGTTCGCTTAGATCTTTTGAACTACTCAACGGATTTTAATGCAATTTCAGCAACAGATTCAAGAGGAAGGCTTATATGTATAATAAATGCATATTATAGTACAGAAAAGCCGAAAAATTCAAAGATTTGTATCCCATACTAACCGTTAAAACGTACCTAGGGACGTAAAGTTTGTAAGTTTATGACGTTGTAGGGAGGAATCTTTCTGGATCTACTAAACCTATTTAGATAAAATTTGGTAAGAAGATAGTTTGAGACGCTGGAAAGAACATAGGATACTTTTTATCCCGAAATTAAACTTTTAAGGGGGTAAAAATGAGGATGAAAGTTTGTATGGTGAATCAAGCCAGGGACGAACCCGAGCGAAGCGAGCGCGATTCGCTAGTAGTAGATATATACTTAGTACTGCTACTAAAATAACGTTTTACGTTTATACCATAAAATTAACACGAACTCATTTTAAGATAAAATCCTGCTGTAATGAAAATTTTTAACAAGCTTCAAGTAAATGGTTTTTCTGGTACTATCTTGTTATTATTATACTTAGTCTCGAAAGCAATATGCTAGATCAAAAAATCAATTTTCTTAAGTATAAGACGCTGTTTTAAGCTCAAGACCATAGGTATATTTTAGAATAATAGCGAATTTGTTATAGGTACTTTTACGTAAAGTATTGTTATAATTTAAGTAGATTTTAAAACTGGCTTTCATTTAAAATGACCTACTACTATTTCCCTCAACTCTAATATCACGGTAGATATGTCGATAGATAAAGTCTGTATTTGGTTCTAATTCGTTGAGTAGCAACAGCGAGAACAGTTAAAAAAACAGTCTCACTGACTTACTTACACATAAACTATAATTTAATAAATCCATTCAAACAATTTTACTTATACGCTAATTTTCTAACGTTTCCTCAGTTTTGATAAAATTGCCAATTACAATTTATGTAAGTATATTTGGAAATAACATCTCAAGTCGTTAGAATAAAGTCTAATTAATAGTACGCATGGTGATAATAACTGATTATTGTTACTTTTTACCTTAAACGTTATACTGAATTTAAAATCACTTTTAAAGCTATTATTCCACGCGGAGATAAAATAGTCGAAGATATTGCGTAAAATATACACAAAAAATAGGTAAGTACTTTTCCTGTCTTGACGTTGCATAATATAATCATCTAATATATAAAATTCTCGTGTCACAGTGTTTGTAAAAAAGCTCCTCCGAAACGGTTTGACCGATTCTTATGAAATTTTGTGGGTATATTCAGTAGGTCTGAGAATAGAACGTAAACTGATGATGATGTTCTCCTGACCGATTCCGGCCACGGCGGCCAATCTCATTGAGACTAGCCAACTGCGCAGGAGATATTATAGTGCACAAGTGTACGCGCAGACACAAGTGGACTCTCTATTCCTGTCACTCTCATACTCTGGTCTCATACTCATACATACGACCACTCGACACGACCAGTGAGAGTTAAGGCGCAGGACCGACGGCTTTACGTGCTCTCCGAGGCACGGGGGTGAAACACCTCCAACTTCCCAACTCCGGGCTGTCACTGAGGCTTAATATACAGAAACACTCAATAACTAAACTTGGCCCGACCCGGGACTCGAACCCAGGACCTCCGGGTGTGCAGCCGTACATGCTAGCCACTACACCTCCGAGGCAGTTGCCTCGACGTAAACTATTTTTCATACCACTAAGTGATAAGGGTGGTACTCAAACAAAATATTTACTATTTTTTAGACATTTTTTTTTATGATTTGGCATTAAAAATATATATACAAATCTAAATTTTCACTAGGGACTAATAGATATTATTTTAAAAATATTAATAGGTACTTACAGAGATATTTAGTCTCAAAATATAATCATGATACTTCAAGTCATATGATATTAGATGGTGAATTCATCTCTTTTTAAAATGGAAACGAGGAAAAGTACCTACTGTTAATAGCCAACTGGTTCATTGCCCAAAATTAACTACTACAGAAGATTTTATATGTTCACCCTATTTTGGAATGTGATGAATAATAAAAGTTTTATCAATTTTAATGCGTTGTGGGTTTTTGTGGGTAAATGTATAGCGCACATTACTTTGTGATGTTTTATGTGAATAACAACCGTATTTTTTTGTAGCAACACAAAATCAAAAAATCAAAATGAAAATATTTTATTCATCATTAAATTATTACAATTTTTTACTGAACGTCATGAGTCTACTACCAGTTCGGAAAGAAGAAGCCACAGACCTGAGAAGAACTGGCGAAAGAAACTCAGCGGGACTAATATTGATTTGTTATCTTTTTCTAAAGTAAAATTATAATTTACAATATTTCTATCAAGTTGCCTGCCTGGAGGCGATCATTTCATTCCCAAGGTGTGCGTGCCATCTTCTATAAAATTATTTATTGTAAATAGCCTTTAACACACAAACGTTCTTTAATAATTTTCTTGAATTTGGCGATAGAAGCCTTTAGAACATTTTCTGGGATTCTGTTCACACAAACACGAAAAACACCAACAGCTCATAAAGTTTAATAAGAAAATAAAGTGACATTTTAAATATCATCAAAGTTATTTTAATATTAAATAACTATCCATTGTTTTTACAAAGTATTTAAAATAAAATGTAACGCGCTAAGGGTTTCAATCTGCCGAATTTTTTTAACGATAAGCACTTTTCTCTTGTCTTTGAGAAAATTAAATTCCTTCCGTAGAGGCACTTAAATTGCCAACGGCTCGTTTAATAACTTCACTGTGAATTCATTTCTTACTCGTACTCAAGAATGTTATGACCCGTGAACTTGAAGCTGAAACACTTTTGAAGGAATGAACTTTTAATGAGTCAATATGCGAGATACGAAGATATCTTTGAAGTCTAAAATAGGAAACGATATATCATTATTAATATTACTATAATCGAATATTAATTCGAGTATATTTAGAAATATATAAATAAAAATATTCACCTATAATTCTCTAAGTCTCTAACTCCTATAGACCATAGATATATCTATACATATAATAAAATTCTAACTAAGTCAAATCTGTACATTATTTTTTTTTAGAAAATCTTATTGAAATAGACATTATTATCGATACAGAGGCCGAATCTATAGTTTTTAGAATTTTTGTCTGTCTGTCCGTCTGTCTGTCTGTTACCGCATCACAGAAAAACTACAGGACGGATTTTGATGAAATTTGGTATGATCATAGCTGATTATCCGGGTCAACATATAGGATACTTTTTAGCGCAGAAAAATATCTCATTTCTAAGAAAAAATACAAAAACTGGTTAGAATAAAAAACGATGATACTATATAGATCCTAGCAAGTTAACTTACTAAATATGTCAAAAACTATTAAAAATAACTAATCTTGAAAAAGTATATCAATAACACTATTTTATTCATTAAAAAAAATATTTTAATGAAATTAATTTTTGTATTATTTAGATATTTGTCAATAGATGTCGCCATGTGTCTTTAAAATACGTAGTTTAAATTCCAAAAAATTGAATGTACAAATTCGACCTTTCTATGATTTTATTAGAATTACTACTAAATTACGCGCGGCCCCGCCCGTGTTTAAATTATCAAAAAACAATCTTTTTGGCTTTATAAATTAATTACATCTATAGATACATTAAAATTTAATGAAACTGTATCTGTGCTTTAAATATTTTTTGGACAATTTTATTGAAATACACATTATTATCGCTAACAGAGGCCGAACCTATAGTTCTAAGAATTTTTGTGTGTCTGTCTGTCTGTGACCGCATCACAGAAAAATCACTGGAGAGATTTTGAAGAAGTTTGGTATGGTAATAGCTGGTTATCCGGGTCAACTAATATACTAATACGAGTATACTTATATGTAAAACCTAAGAATTTGGTTTTGGTCATATTAACGCGGGCGGAGCCGCGGGCAATGCTAGTAGCTATATATCTCTCAACTCAGACTCAACCATTCGGATACCTTTGACCCTTAAACCTGCACTGAGAGAAATCAGCTCAATAGAGGGTAGCTATTTAGAATCATTTCAATTTTATTTTAAATTTAAGATTTTAAAATAAACCATTAGGTATATCTTATGAGTTATCAAACTCGTTTTACCTAAAAAAA